TCATCAGTGTTAGAAGGGAATAGGGTCTGTGGAAAGGGAGAGGAGGAGGTGGAGGAGGACTGTGGGGTCCTTGGTGCTCTCTGAACTTGGTTATTTTCTTGTAGGTGTTTCATTACCCAATTATGGTATAATATCAGTGCTAGAAGGGAGTGGGGTGTGTGGAGTGAAGTAGTAGTACGAGGAGGAGGAGGAGGAGAAAGAGGAGGAGGAGGAGGAGGAAGAGACTTTTGGGGTCCTTGGTACTCATTGACCTTGGCAGTTTCCTTGCAGACGTTTCATGATCCAAACTATATAATATCATCAGCGCTAGAATGGGGAAGATGATGATGATGATGATGATGATGATTGGATCCTTGGTGCTCTCTGACCTTGGCGGTTTCCTTGCAGACGTTTCATGACCCAGCTAGGTGACACCATCAATACTTGGGTGTTACCTAGTTGGGTAATGTAGGTGTCTGTAAGCTCAGATAGAGCCCCAAGGACCCCAAAGGTTTGAGGAGGTGCTTATGGCCAGGCACTTGGCCCATTTGACCCCTCGTCTCCCATCAGCCGCCCAGGCTCCCGGCAGCTCCAGAAGTCTCCGGGTTGCAACCGGAGGCCCCTCTGATGTCACGGCTGTGGCATTCCGACAACTGGCCCCAACGTCGTCGTGGCGGGCAGAGACCGTAGTCTGCAACTGGAAAAGAATTACTGGAAGCCGATTTCTATAAGCAGATCTCCCATCTGAAGGAGGCCGAAGAAATCTGGTGGCGTTCTCCAAGGGAGGAACAATGGCTTCTGAGTGGGGAGATGAAGTGGGGAGGTAAAAATAGAAGCAAGCCTTCCCTGCACGCCGGTTGACCTCTGGGCTGGTGCCCTCGACCCGGGGGGGGGGGAGGAGAGAGGGGCTGCACACATTCCGTGGGACTGGCTCAGTTATTACTGTTTGTTTGGGTTTTTTTCACTTCGCACTGGATCGGGGGCAGGTCTGGGCAAGGTTTCTTTCCCAGGTCTCCTCCGGTTCCCCATCCGATGGCAGCTTTGCAAGAATTGGGGAAGGATGGGAGGGCGCTAGGAGTCGAAGCTGAGAGGCGCCACCAAAGGACTCTGCTGTCTCTTTCTTACACAGAGGGCAATTTACTTCTGTGTAAGGCAACCAGCTTTGAACCAGACTGGGAGGAGAGAGACGTGGCTGCATGCCAGCCATCCAGGACAGATAAAGAGACAAGCGGAGTGGCTGGATGGAAGAACGATGGGTCGATAAATTGACTGATAGAGAAGTTGAGCAGATGGGTGATAGATAGATAGATAGATAGATAGATAGATAGATAGATAGATAGATAGACAGACAGACAGACAAAAGTTGGATGGGTGGATGGATGGATGGATGGATAGACAAGTTGAGTAGATGGATTGGTGGATGCATGGAAGATAGAGAAGTTGAGTGGATGAGGATGGATGGATGGATGGATGGAGGACAGAGATAGTAGATAGATAGATAGATAGATAGATAGATAGATAGATAGATAGATAGATAGATAGATAGATGAAGTTGAATAATTGGATGATGGGTGGATGGATAGATAGGTTGAGTAGATGAAATTGTGGATGCATGGAAGATAGAGAAGTTGAGTGGATGATAGATAGATAGATAGATAGATAGATAGATAGATAGATAGATAGACAGACACAGACAACAGAGAAGTTGGATGGATGGATGGATGAAAGAATAGTTGGATGATGGATGGATGATGGATGGATGGATAGACAAGTTGAATAGATGGATTGGTAGATGCATGGAAGTTAGAGAAGTTGAGTGGATGAGGATGGATGGATGGATGGATGGATGGATGGATGGATGGCGGACAAAGATAGTAGATAGATAGATAGATAGATAGATAGATAGATAGATAGATAGATGAAGTTGAATAATTGGATGATGGGTAGATGGATAGATATGTTGAGTAGATGAAATTGTGGATGCATGGAAGATAGAGAAGTTGAGTGGATGATAGATAGATAGATAGATAGATAGATAGATAGATAGATAGATAGATAGACACAGACAACAGAGAAGTTGGATGGATGGATGGATTGACAGACAGACAAGTGGAATGAAAGAATGGATGGGTGGATGATAGAAAAATAAATATTTCAAAGTCTTTCCCCATGAGGGAACTGCTCTCCAAACCTTGGGGGTGGGTCTTCCCAACCTTAACTCTCTTTTTGAAGATGTGGGGTGTCTCTAAATGTTCTCCCCGATATCGGTTGCTTCTATCATGCCCAGAAGTGCAACAGCCGCCTGTTTCTTTTCTTCTCCTAGATGGCCACGCTCCAGCTCAACGTGTCTTCAGGGGCAGCCCAAGGCAAGTGCAAAGCCATTTTCGTTCTGAACGCCAACAGCAGTTTCGTTCTGACAATCCATTCTGACGAAGATTGCCGCCTCCACGTCATTCACGTGAGTACTAGTCCATAGCGGGAAGGCAGGAGGCAATGCAAGGATTTTGGACCTTGTGGGCTGCAGTTCCGCAGAGAAGTTGGATGGGAATCCTGTCTCCCTCTTAAGAGACTCGCTGCCCTCCTAATAATCTCAAGTTCCACTTTGGCACCGGAATTGTGGCATTGGAAGCAGCCCTTGAGGCCATCTATTCCAGCCCTCAGGAACGAGCAGGAAAGAGATGAAGAAGGCCAAGGAGAGGAGTAGGCCAGTTCTACTTTGGCTTTTCAAAGGCTTGGCTTTTATTGATTCATTTAAAACTGTATATTCGCATATTGTAAAATTGGGAACCAAAGGCACCCAGCCAGCCGTGCATTAGAGGCCCTCAACCGTTGAAACGAGATTGCACAATTCCCCCCCCCCCCTGCACAACAACCCTGTGGGATAGGGAGGTCGACTGACAGCCTGGCCCCAGCCCCCCCCCCTAGTAGCTTTGCCGGTCTAAACAGAGCCGTGAAGCTGAGTCTCCCTTTGCTTGACTCCATCACGTCTGTTTCCTTTCAGCTGCGGAATTTTTTTCTGTGACGCACAAAAAATCGGAAAAATGACCCATTTCCTCTGGGCCTCGGCTCCAGCCGGCTCACACTCAGTCGGGGCAGTTTGTAACTTTAAAAAAAAACACACACACAAACTTTTTTTTTTCCCTATTTGTGTCTAATAATAAAAACGGGCTGACAATGAGGACAAGCTGCTATCTGATCGAGCGTGGCACCACCGGCTCATGCCAGCTACCCTCGCCGGCTTGCCTTCGCCACGCTGGGCCCAGCCGGGGGAAGCAAGGGGGCGGTGGGGGCCAGGACTTGCTCAGACTCAAGTGGCTGGCCGGCAGCGGGACGGGGCGGGGGCCGATTACGGGCAGAGATGGGGAGTGTCCAGGTTTTGGAAAACCCCAGCAGATTGCCAAACCAAACTAGGATCCCTTCTTGGTCAGGCGGTGCCAAATTCTGCTTTTCACTGGGAGGTGGAAAAGTCTGGGGGGTGGGGGAAGAGAGGAAGGGAAGAATAATTAAATCAAGAAAGGAGGGAAGAGAGAAAGAAAGGAGGAGAGAGAGAGAGAGAGAGAGAGAGAGAGAGAGAGAGAAAGAAAGAAGGAAAGAAAGAAAGAAAGAAAGAAGAAAGAGGGAGGGAGGGAGGGAGGGAGGGAGGAAGAGAGATGGAAAGGGAAGGAAGAAGTGAGAGAGGAAGGAAAGAAGAGAGGGGGGGGGGATGGAAGGAAGAAATGAGACAGAAAAAAGATAGAGAGGAATGAAAGAAAGAAAGAAAGAAAGAGGGATGGAAGGAGGGAGGGAGAGAGAGAGGAAAAGAGAAGGAAGAAGTGAGAGACAGAGAGAGAGAAAAGAAAGAGAGAAGGGAGGGAGGGAATGTAAGGAAGGAAGAAATGAGACAGAAAAAAGATAGAGGAATGAAAGAAAGAAGGAAGGATGAAAGGAAAGAAGGAAAGAAAGAAAGAGAAAAAGAAAAAGAAAGAAAGAAAGGGACAGGGAGGGAGGGAAAGGGAAGGAAGAAGTGAGAGACAGAGAGAGAAAAGAAAGAGAGAGGAAGAAGAGAGGGAGGGGATGGAAGGAAGAAATGAGACAGAAAAAGATAGAGAGGAATGAAAGAAAGAAAGAAAGAAAGAAAGAAAGAAAGAAAGAAAGAAAGAAAGAAAGAAAGAGGAAAAGGAAAGGAAAGGAAGAAGTGAGAGACAGAAATAGAAAAAAGAAAGATGAAAGAAGGAAAAAGCGAGTGACACAGAGAAAGAGAAACAGAGAGAGAGAGAGAAGAAATAAAAATAAAATTTAAAGAAATCTTCCTAACCATCTTGCTCAAACAAAAACAGCCCTTAATTGTTCCCCAAAAAACTGATTTACCAACCTAAACTCATTCATAACAACTCGGAGAGCCAAAACTGAAACATCAGCAAAATGCAGCTTCCTCAAGACAGAGAGAGACTGTATTTTATTATTATTATTATTATTATTCTTGAAGGGGGGAAATTGCAAACATGTCTCGCGGGGAAGGGGCAGGATGCGCTTCTCCGCCCTTGCAGGCCGGACTGGCAAAGGCCTGTTTTGAAGGCGGCCGACCTCTCAGAAATTGATCCTGAACGACGCCAAAATCGGAGTCTTTTCTGGGACTTACACGGCAGACAACAATGAGTTATAAAACCCCTTTGATCCTGGAGGGAGATTAGCGTTGCATTGCTCGCAGAGAAGGGACTCCGAGTCTCTCCCTTTCATCCTTGGGGGAGAAACACAGGGCAAAAACTACAAATAGCAATTGTGTTGTCCCAACGTGCGTAGCTTTGTAAGGTCAAAACATCCGGGGACAATTCCCAGCCCAAAGCCAGACCAGTGCTGGGCTGAACAGACAAATCTGGAAAAGGGAACTTGGTACACAAGTGTCCGTCCACTTGCAACAGTTTGTGTAGTGACCAATGACAATGACACTGGGGGGGGGCGTAAAAGGGACTTTACGGTTGTTTTTCATTCTTATGATCGCCCCCCCCCCTCGGTCAACGCGATCAAAATTCGGACCTTTGGCAACTGGTTCGTATTTGTGACGGCGCGATTCTCCTTTGGGGAGTTTCTGTCGAGCAAAGTCCACCGGGAAGCCGTGTCACTAATTTAACAACCGCAACGGTTCACTTCACCGGAAAAAAAAAAATGGCAAGAAAAATGGTAAAAAACGGGGCAAAACTCATTGAACAAATATCTGTATTTCAAAAGGGCTCGACGTTCAGCTCTTCGTTCCCTCTAAAACCATCTCTGTCATTTTTTTTTTTGCACCAGTAATAGCAAAATTGGGGTGTCATCAGCACTCAGGTTTGCGGGCTGCAGTACCCTAAATTCTTATAATTTGGGGGGTTCCCAAAGCCCTGGAACTGCTACCTCTTTCTTTTTAAAAGATGTGTTGTTATTTTTAGATATACAGGGATGGTCACAACAATACGGAAATAATCAAAACCCCTCTGAAGTTTTCTCTGCCAGTTTTCCTTCTTTCTTTCTTTCTTTCCTTCTTTTTCTCTTTCTTCTTTTTCTTTCTTTCTTCTCTTTCTTTCTTTTTCCTTCCTTCCTTCTTTCATTCCTCTCTATCTCTTTTCTTTTTCTGTCTCATTCCTTCCTTCCCTTCCCTCTCTCCCTTTCTTTCTTTCTTTGTTGTTAAGTGTGAAAAGGGCTCATAAGTTGCAACTCTGAATTGTCACTAAATGAACTGTTTTAAGTTGAGGACTACCTGTACATCAACACCATAATAATAAAAATAAAGTTGGAAGGGACCTTGGAGGTCATCTAGTCCAACCCCCTGCTCATTATTGTTGTTGTTGTTCCTGTAGGGTCCTCGTAGCTACGTCATGCCTTCCCGTCATAACTCCACCGCAACCGTCCTGCCTTTCTCCAGCGAGCAACTTTTGACTTGGGCCAAGGAAACGTACGGAGGCGTCTCTTCCTTTGCGGAGTTAGAAGATCCTCAATGGATTCTCTTCCGAGTAGGGAGAGGTGGGTGTTGTTAAAACCTTGCTCGGTAGAGATTTTGCCCCCTCCCCGGCTCAGCTTTCTCTGGGACCGAAAGGTCCGAAAGAACGACGAAAGAAAACGCAACACCAAGGAAACATCTGGAGCACAAATTGACCGGCCAGGGCCAGTGACGCGGTCTAAGAGCCGGGTGCAAATGTCAGCCAAACCTATTTAAGTCATCTCTGTTAAACTGGCTTTTTAGCCCTGACGATGTTGGGAGTATATATACATATGAATATATATTTCCCAGGGGAGGGCTAAAAAAGCCAGCTTTTCAGAACTTCTCAGTTCAGATCATTTTGGATGTCTTGAGTGTGCAAATGTGGCCGCATGTGGTTTTTGTACGACCGGAATGGAGAATTTATGTTGCTAAGCGAGACACACTTGTTCAGGGAGTTTTGCCCCCGTGAGGGCTCCTGCCTCGGCAAAGAGTTGGACTAGATGACCTTCAAAGTCCCTTCCAACCCCTATGAGTATATGAGAAGAAGAACGAAGAGATGCTGTTGATTTTTTTTGAAAAAAACTATAGGTGTCCCAGATACTTTGTCCTTTTTTTGCATTTTTTCTTTCTTCTTTCTTTCTTTTTCTTCTCTTCCTTTCTTTCTTCCTTCCTTTCCTTCCCTCCCTCTTCTTTTTCCTTTCATTCCTTCCTTCTCTTTCCCCTCCCTTTTTTTCTTCCTTCCTCTTTCTTCCACTCCCTTTCTTCTTTTTCTTTTTTCGTTCCTTCTTTCCTTCTTCCCTTCCCTCCCTTTTCTTTTTTCTTTTCTCTTTCTGACTTTTTCTTCTCTTCCTTCTCTCCATTTGTTCTTTCTTTCTTTCTTTCTTTCTTTCTTTCTTTCTTTCTTTCTCTTTCCTTCCGTCCCTCCCTTCCTTCCCTCCCTTTTCTTATTTTTTGGGGGGAAAGGGAAAAAAGGGAAGAATAGATGTCCAGAACCATAGTGATAAATTAGAAGAGCAGCGTGGCTTGGACCCCCCCCCACCCCATAAATTCCAGGTTGGAGCTCTTCCTTCCTTCCTTCCTTCCTTCCTTCCTTCCTTCCTTCCTTCCTTCCTTCCTTCCTTCCTTCCTTCCTTCCTTCCTTCCCGTGAAGATGGTGGAGAAATCACAGCTCTTCACAAAGGCTCATCATTTCTCTCTTTGTGTCAAGAGCCCAGCGCAAGCGAAGATTGCATCTTGGCGCAGAATTTCAACGCCGAGTCCTATCTAGAGGTAGAAGTCCTTTCCCACAAGGTGGAGATCTGCTTGGATTCCCACAAAGCATCTGGAAACGTGGCTCACATCCTGTGGCTGCAACAGAGTCCATCAGACGAGAGGTATGATTTGTCAGGGGGGTGGTGGTGGTGGTGGTGAGTTAGAAGGCCACAAAAATTGTCTTTCTTTCCCAAGAAATAGCTTTTTCAAGTGCTTTTTCAAGAGGCAACTGGACTTTCTTGTTTTTCTTTGAAGACATTTTGCCTTCTCATCCAAGAAGCTTCTTCAGCTCTGACTGGATGGTGGGGAATGGAAGGATTTATACTCCTTGCAGACAGCTGGTCATTTGCCTCCTTTTAGAGAGTCGTGGAGGCCATTTGGAGGTTTATCTGTGTTCTCAGGGTCGCCTGAGTGGTGCAAATGGGTCTGGAGCCTTCGTGGCTGCAGGATGTTTTCTGCCCTGTCTCCCTTCCTGTGGGTAAACCTCCAAGTGGCCTCAATGACTCTCTAAAAGGATGCAAATGACCAGCTGTCTGCAAGGAGTATAAATCCTTCCATTTCCCACCATCCAGTCAGAGCTGAAGAAGGTTCCTGGAGGAGAAGCGAAACGTCTTCAAAGAAAAACCAGAAAGTCCATTTGCTTCCTGAAAAAGCATCTTTGGGATAACCATGACCTGGAAGACTGAGAATCTCCATAGACGAGAAGAAATAGACTTCACACCTTTTTAAAGCTTCCATTTTGAAACTGACGGACACCTTCACCTCGGTTCTCTTCCAAAAGTTGTGCTGCTTCAAATTTCATCCTGGAGGGGGGGGGAAGTGTGCACCTGGGTGTGTTTTTATGCCAACTTTATGCAGCGATCAAGTTAAACCAAAGGGAAACCTGGGCCAAAATCAGCATCCTGCACAGGGCCAAACTAAAATCCGATCGTGATTGTTGAATATTTGCGATTTTTCTTGAACGTCTAGACCAGGGGTAGGCAACCTTGGCTCTTTTATGACTCGTGGACTTCAACTCCCAAAATTCCTGAGCCAGCCATGCTAAGGGGAAAGGGAGAGGTTTCCAAGCTGAGCCATGCTGGCTCAGGAATTCTGGGAGTTGGTCCACGAGTCATAAAAGAGCCAAGGTTGCTTACCCCTGATCTAGACAAAGTAGGACCTCCCAAAGAAGGAGGTGTCTGAAATGTAACTTAAAGTTTGGAAGGAAGGCGATTCTTGGTCTTCACTTTTTTGTGTGGTTTCGTTTGCAGGATGCAAACGGTGGAGCTGAACATCAAAACTGTTTGCAAGGATGGCCGTTCGGAGCAAAAAGCAGAGCTGCCCATGGCTTTGTGGCTGAAGAGCCACCAAAACACGCTGTGGAAAATGGGCCACGGGTTCTCATTTGTGCAACTGTTGGTAAGAATTGATGCCAAGGGGGAAAAAATGCTCTCTTTTTTTGATGCATTCAGCGGCTTCTTGGAAATTTATGGGTGAAACGAAGCAATACAAATTCCTAAGGGGGCAGATTGTCCTGGTTCCGACAGAAGTTACTCTTCAAAGAACTTTGAGGCATTTGTTCACCTTAAAGAATCTTTATTCAAAATAACATTGCATCGGCAGGTACATGGTTGAAGCCAAAATCTGAATCCCCCTCCCCTAAACACATAGTATCCAAGCCAATTCCCTCCTCCAACTAACAGTCATAAATCACATTCTCCAATTAGTTTGAAATGCAGACCTTCCCTCCAGTTTCATAATCCGCCATTCCTTATCGTCTCTTATTTCAGACAACCTTGAAAAATACTCTAGTGCCATGTTGTTATGTCTAACTAATCCCCATACATATCCTTCCCCCCCAGCACAGTCTAATTCCAACTCTAAAAGTAACACACAGCTTAAAGAGAAAATGGCTGCATCTTCGTACATTGTCAAAGCAAGCACATCCGATGTTAGCAGCGTTGACACGGATTTTCAAAAATGAGCCAAAATCATTTTTTTACTGGGGCGCTGAGCGGAACGCCCAAAGACCCACACCAACCCTGTTTGTTGATGAGAAACAAACTCGCCTCTCTGAAAGTGACCCACAAAAAGGGGTGACCCACAAAAAAAGGGGTGATTACATTTAGAAAGGAAGAACTCACGCCGGGAAATGTTGCTCCCTGGGAAATGTAGATCTGAAGAAGGATGCGGAATTCTCCTTCTCCTTTTCGTCTTGGTTTCTGTAGAAGGAAAACATTCCTGGCAAAAAAGGGGGAGGTTATGTTAGCAATGCAGGGAGGGGAAATGGTTTAAAAATGGGTGTGGACTAGTCACTTTCCCTCCCTGAATTTTCCTAAATTTTTCCTAAATTTCCTAATTCTAAATAATTTCTAAGACTAATTCTAAGATTGTTGCAGAAAGGTGTTTTAAACCTTTTTCTTCTCCTCCTTCTTCTTCTCTCCCTCTTCTTCTTCCTTTTGTCTCCTTCCCCATCTCCTCTTCCTTCTCTCCTTCTCCTCTTCCTCCTCTGCCTTCTCTTTTCCTCCATCTTCTCTTTCTCCTCCTCATCCTCTTCCCCGTGTTCTTTCTCTTCCATCTTCTCCACTTCCACCTTTGCCTTCTCTTCTTCGCCGTCTTCTTCTTCTCTTCATCTTCTTCATTCTCCTCTTCCTCCTTCTTCTTCCCCGTCTCTTCCACCTCCTTCCATCTTATCTCCTCCATCTTTTCCTTCTTCTCTTCCTCCTCTGCCTTCTCTTCTCCATCTTCTCTTCCTCCTCCTTTCTTCTTCTCTACCTTTCTTCTCCATCTCCTCCACCTCCTTCTTTCTCCATGTCTTCCTCCTCCTCCTTCTCTGTCTTCTTCATCTTTCTCCATCTGTTTCTCCTCCTTCTCTGCCTTTTCCTTCTGTGCCTTCTTCTCCTCCTCTATCTTCTCCTTCTCTTCCTCCTCCTCCTCTCTCTCTCTCTCTCAGGCATCTGGTAAATATTCATTTGCTACCTTCTCTGGGGTGCACAATGGTACGACGCTTCCCGACAACAAGGAGGAACTGATACAAAAGGCCCGCAACAATTCCTTCATGACTTCTTACACCGAAATCCCCTCAGCCAAAAGCATCAGCCTGGAATATAAGAGGATTTGCGGTGAGTCAATATAATACAATCTGGGTTGGAGGCAGCCAGCTGGATCAGAGCAAGGAGAAGACAATATTTGCAGGATCTTGAGGGATCCATATTCCACGGCCTAGCAGTTTGAAGGCTTTGTTGAGTTGGGTTGAGTTGGATTGAGTTTCCAACGGTTCTCGGGAAACTTAAGAGTTTGGAAAGAACTTGACGGGACTCTGGAAGAAACAAAGAGCCAAGAAACCAAATTTGGAAGATGTGTTATCTCAAAACAGTTTTCTATTATTTGAGCTTCACCTCTTGATCGGAAGCTCTGGAGATCTTGTTCTGCACCAGTAATAGATCCCGCAGTCTGAAAAATAATTGGAAATGCTGGCTTTCTAGATCCAAGGTCTCTTGCTCAGCGTAGGACTTGTGGAGATACGAAGCACCATCTATGTTGACTTGAGCCCCTGGGGAAAAAAACAAGCCATGATTGTGAAGCTCAAAGTCCACTTTTTTAATGTCTCTTTGGGATCCTGTTTTACAGGCTCAGCCATAGTCACAATCACCCCACCCCCCCAGACAGCAGAAAACCTGACTGTCAAGGTCCACCAGCTCATCAACCTTTGCAAGCCCTGGAAGTGCTTGGATAGCAGCATTGAAATTGCTCTCCTCAAGATGTATCTGACGGTAAGGAAGTCCACCTGGGATCCTGGGCAGTCCTGCCTCAGTTTCCCTGTCCGTCTCCCTTCCTGGAGCCCTTCCGGTAAGGTCAGCCACTTGGACTCTTCCAGAGAGGTTGGACTACATATCCCAGAAGTCCCAGGCAGGCTGCCATGGATCGGAAACATGGGGGTTGGATCAATTGTCCCAGCCGAGTCAGCTGTAGCTTAGAACACACTTGACAGATTAAATGATTTCCACATAATTAGAATTACTGAAATTCTAATTCTAATAATAATAATGTTGGGAGGGATCTTGGAGGTCATCTAGTCCAACCCCCTGCTTAGCACAACCCCATGCTTCTTTTCTCAGCAAACCTGTGGAAGAGTTCTGTTAAATCCAGAAGCTTGCCCGTTCTCTCCTTGGGTTATCCCTGTTAAAACATCTCCCAGCTAACCCTGGTTCGTCCTTCTCCTTGCAACCCTAGGTGTTACCTACCCGGGTCGATGCCGTCACCTTGAAAGATCCCAGTTGCAGGGCCAGAGACAACACAACCCATTTTGTCCTCAACAGCATCCTGGACAAATGTTCCACCCAACTTGAAGGGGGTGTCCATGTGAAAAACCAGGTATGGTATTTTTTTTTCCTCCAAATCCTGGCCCGGTGCCCACCAAATATTAGACTGGAACCCCCCATATCCTGGCCTGAAGCCCCCCCAAATCCTGGCTTGGTTCCCCCCAAATCATAGCCTGGTGTCCCAAAATCATAGACTGGAACCCCCCCCATATACTGGCCTGAAGCCCCTCAAATCCTGGCCTGGAGCCCCCCCCCCCCAAATATAGCAGGGTGTTTTATGCAACTCTTTTCTCTTGAAGCAAAATTATTCAAAAACATTTATATCAAACCACCAATCCTTTTCTTTCTTTCTTTCTTTCCTTCTTTCTCTCTTTTAATTGTTCCAGCTCATCCTAACTCTACCAGTGTCACCGGGGAAAGTCACGGTAAGGAGAAAGTCCTTTTTGCTCTAAAAACCAATCCCTGGTTTATACTCAGTTTAATAACTTTCCCGAGGCTGGGCTCTTGATTGCTCTGGTGAATTCTTTCGATATGACTTAATACGGGGTCCTCGACAAGCACCATGCTGCAGCTTTGGAAAGAATTACCCCGCTGCTATTTTTTAAAAAAAGTCGGTGACAAGAGTATTTTTTTTTTAAAGAAAAGAGAGAATTCTGCTTTGTTTAGCATGCAAAAAGGGGAAAAAAATATGCCGCAGTCTTAGGCATATCTACCCTGAGTTTCAATAGGACATCCCATTACACACGTATAGAATTAAACCCTGCAAAATGGGGACGCTTAAACACACAAAAAGTTACTTCTTTGTCTAGCCATGCAACTGACTGACCAAAATCCCTAATTCCATTCTCTAATGTTAAATAGAGTGGGGTGGGGTAGAGTAGAGTAGAGTAGAGTAGAGTAGAGTAGAGTAGAGTAGAGTAGAGTAGAAAATGGAATGGAATAGAATAGAATAGGATAGGAGATAGAGAATAGAATAGAATAGAATAGAATAGAATAGAATAGAATAGAATAGAATAGAATAAGAGACATAGAGATAGACATAGAGAATGGAATGGAATGGAATGGAATAGAATAAGAGATATAGAGAAAGAGATGGAGAATGGGATAGAAAAGAATAGAATAGAATAGAATAGAATAGAATAGGAAATAATAGAATAGAATAGATTGTAGAATAGAATAGGAGAGATATAGATAGGGAATGGAATGGAATGGAATAGAATAGAATGGAATGGAATAGAAAATAGAATAGAAAATAGATTATGGAATATAGAATAGGATAGGATAGACGCTGGAAGGGATCATGTAGGTCATCTAGACCACCCCCCTTGCCCAAGCAGGAGACCCTACACTATTTCTGACAGATGACAGATAAATAACATTATCTGTATGATCTGCAACTGGTGGCCCACCTCTTAAAAGCAGGCCTTGGCCCTGTCTTAGGAGAGACTATCAGACGAGACTTGCGAGAAGAGCTTCCTAACTTTGATACGATACCTGGTAGGAAAATGTAAAAGTCCCATGAAATGCAAGGTCTCGCGTTTCCGCTTTGGAAAAAGGAATCGGGTGACAAAGCGTTATTTTGTCCGTGATTCATTTATCAAAGCTTTCAATTTTTCTCCTTTGCAAACCTATCCATCGGCGCATTTCAGCCCCTGAAACTCTATAAAGATGCCGTTTGCGGATCTGGGGAATCTTTTGCTGGCTTGCAAATGGATCGGCACCAAGCCGATCCACTTGCACGCTAAGGGAACAACAAAGGTCCCCAAGGATGATTTTTCCTTGTTTTTCTTGGAAGATGTTTCGCTTCCCCTCCATCAACTCGGAGCTGAAGAAGCTTCAGCGAGGAGAAGCGAAACGCCTTCAAAGAAAAACAAGAAAATCCAGTTGCCCCTCCTGAAAAAAGCACCTTTGGGATCACCATGACCTGGAGAACTGAGAATCTCCGTGGAAAAACAAACGAATCCAGTCATTTGATCCTCGGCTGCAGGTGCCCTTTGAATGTGACCTACCAGAGAAAGTGTCTCTCCAGCTTTACAACTCGGAGGATTTCAACTTGCCGAGCAATCCGGTGATACAAGCTCACCAAGTCACCTACGTGGAGGTAAGGCGGGTCTTGGGGGTTTGGGGGTAGGAAGGTTGAATTCAAGCCCCAAGGTCAGAAGAGGGGTGTTGGGAGCTGAGGTCAAAGGAAGGCTGTCTTCAGAACAACCCAGGCAAAACCCAGCAGATGCAAAACTTTGCAAAACACTTGCGAGACAGGTAGGGCAGGTGTTAAGCGTGATGTGGCTTCACACCTTGGCCCAACTGAGCTTGTTGGGTGAGATAATAATAATAACAACAATAGAGTTGGAAGGGACCTTGGAGATCATCTAGTCCAACCCCCTGCTCAGGCAGGAAACTCTGTACCATTTCAGAAAATAGAATGGAGTGGAGTAGAATAGGAATATGGAATATGGAATATAGAATACAATGTAGAATAGAATAGAATGATAGAAAATAGAATAGAATAAGGATAGAATAGAATAGAATATTGGAAGGGACCTTAGAGGTCTTCTAGTCCAACCCTCTACTCAGGCAGGAAACCCAATACCATTTCACACAAATGGCTGTCCAATCTCTTCTTAACAACAACAGTGTTGGAACATTCACAACTTCTGGAGGCAGGTTGTTCCACTGATTGTCTTCACTGTCAGAAAATTTCTCCTTAGTTCCAGGTTGCTTCTCCCCTTGATCAGTTTCCATCCGTTGTTTCTTTTCCTGCCTTCTGGTGCTTTGGAGAATAGCTTGACTCCCTCTTCTTTGGGGCAGCCCGTTTAGGGTTCTAGGTGTTGTGTGAACATGGGAAATAGGTTAATTTCAGATAGGTATCCTTGAAAATAACATTGTGACTAAGATTGTCTCGTGTTTTTTTTCCCCTCCCATCGCCTTCCCCCTCAATAGGTCTCACTCCGAACAGCCATGAAGCAGTTTTCTCTAGAAATGGAAGACTGTTTCTTAAAACCCCGAGACAGCCCGCCTCAGTTGTTCTTCCACCAAGGGCTCTCTCTGAGCTACTCGGTGGAGACCCTGAAATCCCCCAGCCCGAAGACCCAACGCTTCAGCTTCACCTACAAGCCAGAGGAAGAACTGTGGTCCATCGATTCGGCCACCTTGGTTTGCGTGGTCCATCTGAACACCTCGGTGAGTGGGCCTCTGAAGGACTTTCTTTGTCATGATGGCGACGTCCGCTGAATTGTGTCTTGTCTCTTGGGGGTTCTTTGGAGCAGGCCTCTCCACGTCTTCTGATCTTGCCCTCAACACTTATTTTGAGTTGTTCTGTGCTCTGGCTGGTGTCAGCTTTGATGCTGTCCAGCCGCCATGTTCTTTGATAGCCTGGTTTCCTTTTAGCACTCATTCTTCCAAACACTGTTGCTTTCTCCAGTGACTTTCCTTATGTGACTTTTTCCGGGGGCAACTGGGCTTCCTCGTTTTTCTTTGAAGAACGTTTCGCTTCTTATCCCAGAAGCTTCTTCAGCTCTGACTGGACGGTGGGGAACGGAAGGATTTATACTCCTTACAGACAGCTGGTCATTTGCCTCCTTTTAGAGAGTCGTTGAGGCCACTTGGAGGTTTACCTGGGTCTTCAAACTCACCCATTTGCACCTCTCAGCTGACCTTGAGGACACAGATAAAACTCCAAATGGCCTCAACGACTCTCTAAAAGAAGGCAAATGACCAGCTGTCTGCAAGGAGTATAAATCCTTCCATTCCTCATCATCCAGTCAGAGCTGAAGAAGCTTCTGGGATGAGAAGCGAAACGTCTTTAAAGAAAAACAAGAAAGTCCAGTTGCCTCCTGAAATAAACACCTTTGGGACAACCATGAGCTGGAGAACTGAGAATCTCCATAGATTCTTCCCTTCGTGGCATGGCCAAAATAAGTGAGATTTTGTGATTTTTGTTTTGTCTTCCAGTGAGATTCAATAGAGGTATTTTGGCCAAACATCAGAATCCTTCATTCATTCTCCCTCAATTTTGGAGGCTGGATGGTGAGGTAACCTCAAGTCTACCTGCTTCCTTTAAAAAAGTCTTGAGAAGCAGTTCGCGTTCTCTTCTCCAGCAAAATACAGGCAGTCCTTGACTTATTCACTGATTTTCACTGATTGCTTAGTGACCGTTTGAGGCTACGACAGCCCTAAAAAAAAAAAAGTAAGCCCTGGATTCTAAATTCTGAGGTGGTCCTGGCAACGATGTGACCACAATTTCCTACATTTACTGCCTTGAATTAGGTTTATTTCCAGTTTCCCACCAAAAACGCTCATTGCAGACAATGGGTCGACTTTACAACCATGTCTGCTTAAGACTACCACCAAAAACTAACATAAAATGGGGCGGGTTCCACAAGCGCCTCAATTTACAACCATCATGGCCCACGATGAAAATTCTGGCCTACGTTACCATCGCAATGTCGAGGACTCCCTGCGTTCCTTTTGCGTGACAGGAATTAACTCTGTTTTCTCTACTTGGTCTGTGTCTGAAGATGTGTGACTTGTCCTTTATGACCTCCCTAATAACTCTGGGGAAAAAAAAAAGAAGTTTGCTGTTGCCAAAGGAAGCCGTTTAAAAAAAAGAAGAAGAGGAGGTGGAAGAATTCCCTCTCTTTTAAATCCAAATTATTTTTTCTTTCCTTTCCAGAGCGACAAACGCCGAAGCTACGAAGGCTCTTTAGAAGTGATGCTCAAAAACTACAATCCTGGATCCCACAGTGAGTCGACAGCTCTTTTCTATACAAAATAAGTCCATGGTTTGCTCTCTTTTATCTGTGGTTATTTCACAGAAAAGTTGGTTCACGCATGTAAACGACTGTTTGGGGAAGGGCCCCCCTTCTCTCTTTACAAATCAGCTTTGTAATGCTGAGAATAGTGTGGAAAGCTCTTTTAAGCATCCACAGATTGTTAAAAAACAGGACCCTTTTCAACTTCTAAAATTCATGCATTTCCAAAGACGAAGGGACACCTTTCCCTGGTGGCGTTTATGTTTTGGATTCCGAATCTGTGGAGAGCTGTTCTTTCCTCTTTCTGTCTAGCTTAGCCTTCCCCCAAAATGCTTTAACATTTCTCCTTCTGTTGTGTGGCCTCCACTGTGTTTGGCAAAGGCCATCCTCCTATGTCTTCCCGCCTTTCTAACTTACCAAAGGTGAAAAGCCTGATAACCACTAGATGGCAGGAGAGAGAGTTTTCAGTATCTCCTACCGCCCTCTAGTGAGCATTTATAATAGAGTTGGAAGAGACCTTGGAGATCTTCTAGTCCAATCTCCTGCTCCTTAAAACTATTTAGACAAATGGTTGTCCAATCTCTTCTTCAAAACCTCCAGCAATGGAGCACCCACAACTTCTGAAGGCAAGTCGTTCCACTGATTAATTGTTCTCATTTCCAGGAAATTCCTCCTTAGTTTTAGGTTGCTTCTCTCCTGGATTAGCTTCCATCCATTGCTTCTTGTCCTGCCTTCCGGTGCTTTGGAAAACAGGTTGATCTCTTCTCCTCAAACATTGGGACACAACTATCATGTTATCCTTAGTCCTTCCTTTTGCAAAATTTGCATTATGGTGGCCCATTTCTGAAACTCCAACTCAAAGCGGTAAATCCTCTCCATCTTTCTCCTTCGCCTGGCTCACGGCCTTCGCCCTACCCATGTCTGGTTGCCTCATGGTGGCGACAACTTGTGAGGCCTGCACTTCCATCTCCACAGGAGCCACATAGGGTGGTCCTTTGGCCCAGCCGGAAGGTGTGCACCATGACCTTGGCTGGTGGCACCTCTGAGCCATGGAACTGCGGTGAGAGAAAGCACGCCTGGACAACGGAAGAGGATTTAGGCTAGAACGGCAGCCAACTGGTACCGCCCAAGCCAGAGTTGCATAATGGTGGGTGAGGTGCCATTTTTGATGCAGAACAGTGACAGCCCTGAAGGACCTTATCTCCTCCATTATCCCAGCTGATGTGGCCTTTGACTTTGTGAAGCACAGTTGGCGTCCAGACGTCTGTGCGAGGGAAGGAGATAAATGATAATGAGTTAAGAAAGCAGGAAGAATCCCATCTTTTCCAGACGGATGTTCAAGAGATAACGAGAATCAGCTGGCGTACAAACGGATCCGATTATTGGTGCGTGGCCTCCAAGACGAGGTTCTCCTGGAGACAACTCTCATTGTGAAGGAAGGGAAGAGGACAAAGGTTTTGGATACAGTGGCAAAGAGATATTTTAAAAAAAGGAAAGGCGTTCCTGAGAATCTCCTTGGCTTCCTTTTCAGCGAAGGTCCATGTCTCCATTTGAAGTAGACTTTGAGAAGATCTATCCTTGCAAGATTTTGTTTTTGAGGACACTTCAATAGAGCTTTGGGTCTCAGATGGCCAAGTTCCCCAAAAGCAAGCAGAATCTGGAGAAAGAAGCACATATAGCCAGCATAAAACCAAACAGTTTCATTTTCAAACACACCCCAATGAAGACAATTGCCCTTCCTGTATCAAACAGTGTTTTTAATCACATTAAAAATGGCAAGTTGATGGGGGTTGGGTGAAGGAAGGTGGATGAAGATGGTGCCCCTTTTTTTGAAAGCAGAACATCTGCAACTTTTCTAGTTTTTTTTTTTTTAGTTGTCCTCCGTCAAAGGTGGATTTTCTATTCCTGTTCTTCCTTTCTTTCTTGTGTTGTGGGGGCTGTTCTTCCTGGAGACTTGGGCAGACACACAAGATTTCCCACTGGAGACGTGAAGGATGAAGGGGCAGATCTCCCAAAATAAAACAAAGCAACTTTGATTTTAGAATCAAGATCACGTGAAGTATTAGTACCGCTTTATAAAGCCTTAGTAAAACCACACCTAAAATATTGCATCCAGTTTCAGTCGTCACTTTACAAAAAAGATGTTGAGGCTCTGGGAAAAGCACAAAAAAGAGCAACTAAGATGATTAAAGGAGACTAAAACATATGAAGGACGGTTGCAGGACTTGGGTATGACCAATCTCGAGAAAAGAAGGAGTAGGGGGGACATAGTAGTTTTCCATATAGTATTTGAGGGGCTGCCACAAAGAAGAGGGGGTCAAATTATTCTCCAAAGCACCAGAACGCAGGACAAGAAACAATGGTTGGAAACTGATCAAAGAGAGAAGCAACTTGGAATTAAGGAGAAACTTCCTAACAGTGAGGACAAATTAACCAGTGGAACAGAAGTCGTGGGCACTTCATCACTGGAGGTTTTTAAGAAGAGACTGGGCAGTCACTTGTCTGAAATGATACAGGGTCTCCTGCTTGAGCAGGGGGCTGGACTAGAAGACCTCCAAGGTCCCTTCCAGCTCTATTCTGATTGAACTTCAAGAGGGATGACCACCAGAAGTATGAAATTGCCAATGTTCTGCTGACTAAGATTTGGGGGCTCTGTGGCCGTAGAAACATAAGGATGGAGGAAGGCATGGAAGAGGCTTCCTCACAATTCCTTCCTGAGAATAGGATAGAATAGAAGAGAATAGAATAAGATGCAGAATAGAATAGAATAGAACAGAATAGAATAAAAGAGAAGAGAATATGGAATAGAATGGAATGGAATGGAATAGAATAGAATAGAATATGGAATAGAATGGAAGAGAATAAGAGAAGAGAATATGGAATAGAATAGAATAGAACAGAATAGAATAAAAGAGAAGAGAATATGGAATAGAATGGAATGGAATAGAATAGAAGAGAATAAGAGAAGAGAATATGGAATAGAATGGAATGGAATGGAATAGAAGAGAATAAGAGAAGAGAATATGGAATAGAATAGAATAGAATAGAATAGAAGACTAGAGAATATGGAATAGAATGGAATGGAATGGAATAGAATAGGAGAATGGAATGGAATAGAATAGAATAGAAAATGGAATGGAATGGAATAGAGCAGAGCAGAATAAAGAACAGAACAGAATATGGAATGGAATGGAATAGAATAGACAAGAGAATAGGAGATCGAAAATAGAAATAGAAATAGAGTAGAATAGAATATAGCATAGAATAGAATAGGAATAGGAACAATAGACTAGACTAGACTAGACCAGAACAAAATTCTTTATTGGCCAAGGAATTTGATGTCAATATGGATGTTTTGCGTCCTTCTGGAAGTCCTCTTTCCTGTGTGGCTCCCGCCAGGCCGGAAAAACAATAAAACGAGGAAAAACTCTTGACACGAACTCAGTCCCCGAGGAGCCTGGCCGAGCACACTGCGCACGTCGGACGCTGTTCCTTCATCCTTTCAGTGTCCTTGTTTTGACACAGCAAGCCTCGGGGGGGAATCCTGGCTGGTCTTAAGGAAGGTGTCATTTGGGAGAAAATAAAACAGGCTTAGAGAGTGAAAACTGACAGGCAGTCCTCTACTTATGACCACAATCAGGGTAGGCACTTCCCTTGCTAAGCGAGGAATTTATGACAAGTGAGACCCACAATTGCTAAGCGAGGCCAGCTGCTAAGGGTCCTGTGCCCAATTTCACCGCCTTTTCGCCGCGGCGGCGAAGGGGGGGGGTCACCGCAGCCGTTAAAGAGAATCACACAGCCGTTAAGCAAATCTGGGCTTCTCCCGTTGACTTTGCTGGTCGGAAGGCCGCAAAAGAAGGATCACGTGAGCCACCCAGGGACAGAGCAACCGCCACAAGTACATGCCAGTTGCCAAGTGATCTAATTTTGATCACGTGATCTTGAGGAGGCTACTGCTGTGAGTTCGAGGACCGGTTTGTTTTCTTTCCAATTGTGATTTTGAACCGTCATTAAATGAAATGTTTGTAATTCGAGGACCGCCTGTGAGGGAAATATTAGAAGCACTTGCGCGCGTGCAAAGTGCAAATGATACCGCTTTAATCTGGGAAAAAAGCTCCTTCAAAATCCACCTTATTTTAACGTCTTTTAATTCTTTCTCTTTAGACCAAGGTTTGAGGATCAGCACCGTGCTGGGCATCGCCTTTGGCGCTTTCTTGATCGGAGTCCTGCTCACTGGGGCGTTGTGGTTCATCTATTCTCACACTCGTAAGTTGTGTCACTTCCAAGGGAAGCTTGCTGGCATGGTGGAGGGGGGAATGAGGGGGGCACCCACCCAGCTGAACCCCCTTTAGAGGTGAAGGTGCAGTCTGAGCTCAGCAATCCAAGGGGGTCCTAGAAACTGATTTCTGCCTTGAGGTTGCTAGTCCTCATGACTCTGGAGAAGCGCAGTTCAAACACGAACATCACCACCTCTCTTCGGCTGCCGGTTTAACTCAAGATGACCAAGTGGAGCGATCTTTCCCAGCCTTATCTGGAGATACAAAGGGTGGGATCGGCCATTTTTCCATTAAGGGACCCCCTTATCTTTATTCTCCCACCGTCTGCCCCTTCCTCACGGTCCCTCCAATTCCCAAACAGGAGACATCTGGTCCCGCTTGGCAGCCCGACCTGCATATTTTCCTTAATCTCTAGAAAAGCGGAGGAGGTGCAATGGCTGAATTTTTTATCTGCTTTTGTGACGGTCAGGCAAGGTCCACCTCGGCTGGACAAGGCAGTGGGAAAGCACTCAGGGACAATCCCGCTGGGATTTCACGAAGCCGTCGGGCCCGCCATGTGCTTTCCCTCTCCTTGTCAGCTTCCCAGTTGGGTCCAGCATGGGAAATTTTCCCGAGTAGAAGATAATAACTGTAGCTCAGATTTGAACCGTTGAGATCCCTGGTGGTTTTTTTTTTTCTTTTTGAGTTGTTGGCTTGCAGATGTTTTCATTACCCAACTAGGAAACATCATCAGAATAACAGAGTTGGAAGGGACCTTGAAGGTCTTCTAGTCCACCCCCTGCTCAGGCAGGAGACCCTGTACCATTCCAGACAAATGGTTGTCCAATCTCTTCTTAAAAAACGTCCAGGGTTGGAGCATTCACCGCTTCTGGAGGCAGGTTGTTCCACTGGTTAATTGTTCTCACTGTCGGGAAGTTTCTTAGTTCTAGGTTGCTTCTCTCCTTGATGAGTTTCCATCTGTTGCTTCTTGTCCTGCCTTCAGGTACTTTGGAGAATAGCTTGACTCCCTCTTCTTTGGGGCAGCCCCTCAGATATTGGAACGCTGCTACCATGCCACCCCTGGTGTAGAATAGTATAGAATGAGAGAGTTGGAAGGGACCTTGGAGGTCTTCTAGTCCAGCCCCCTGCTCAAGCAGGAGACCTTATACCATTTCAGACAAATGGCTGTCTAGTCTTTTCTTAAAAACCTCCAGTGTTTGCACACCCACAACTTCTGGAGGCAAGTTGTTCCACTGGTTAATTGTTCGGTTAGGATATTTTTTCTTAGTTCTATGTTGCTTCTCTCCTTGATTAGTTTCCATCTGCTGCTTCTTGTCCTGCCTCCTGATCCTTTGCAGGATAGGTTGACCCCCTCTTCTTTGGGGCAGCCCCTGAGATATTGGAAGGCTGCAAAGATCAACAAGGTCTCCCATTTATTATCAGATGCTATCATGTCGCCCCTAGTCCTTCTCGTTATCAGGTCCTCTTGATGGGTAATGATACAACTGGAAACCAACAACTCAACTCAAAGAGAGCACCCAGGACTCTACAATTCTCTCCACCTTCTCCAAACAGCCCACCCTTTTTCATGACTTCTAACCCGTTCCAGGTCCGATCGCCAAAACCCAGCCAGCCTTGGCAAACGCACCTGCGTCGGAGAGCAGCAGCACCAACCACAGTTTGGGCAGCACCCAGAGCACCCCCTGTTCCACCAGCAGCATGGCATAGCACCCCCAAAACGGGGAGCCACCAGCTTAGAGGGAAAGCACCAGGACTGCAAAGCCGTTGGGTTCCAAGGTTGGCGAAGAAGGTTCCGCTTCAACCCAACTGACTTCTGTTCTTCTCCTTCATACGTCGAAATGTTGGGTGTCTCCAGCCAGCAACTTCAACGGCTACTTCTTGGAAACTATTGGATTTCCTGAGGGGCACCCACCCCCCTTAATCTGGGACTAGAATTGTGTTCCATTTCATTGTGGCCAAGGTCTTCAAGGATGGACTGTTGGAGTACTAGACTCTTCTCCTGTTAGGTACCAGCTAGAGAGTGGGAGAGCGTCTATACATCGTTGCCGATTTGTTAACCACAGGAGCAGCTAACCTCGCTTTTGAAAGAAACCAGGATGAACTAGGCTTGTAGAGGTTTGCTTTGTCTCCTGGCTAAAAACCCTGGAGACAAAAAATATTATCTGAATCGAGAATCCCGCAGGATTGACAAGTGTTAGCTTCTCGTGGGTCTGTCCTCCCGTTGTCAAGGCCCAACTTTGCTCGTAGGGTGGTGGGCAAGGCTTTGGGCCATCCCTTACAGAGGTCTTCTGTGGGTCATCAAACCCAGATCATTCCAGGAATTTTGGTTCCCCTTTCTGCTGGGTTTGAATTCGGTTTTCCTAGCGGGATGCTCCAGGGTTGCCCCAAACTCCGATTCCCATCAACTTTCAAGAGCGAACAAGCTGGGGATCATGGGAGTGAGTGCCCACTTGAAAAGCACCAGCTTCTTAAGAGAATAGCGAAGGCCCCTCTTAAAATTGGCTTCACAGCAAGCTTTCAAGATAGAAGCAGCAGGAGTCTGAGCAGGGGGGGTTAGACTAGAAGACCTCCAAGGTCCCTTCCGTCATCCTGTTAAGTCAAAGAGTTAATTCAGGAGGGGGACCCCATTTTCTGTGTGTTTTGCAGCCCCCAGGTTAACTGCAAATCACAATTCTGTATATTTGGCCCTCCAAAATTAACACCAATTATACTCACTTCAGCCGGTTGTGTGCAAATAGCTAATAGACTTTAGCATCTTCCTCATTGTAAAAGGACTTGGGGCGGCCTCAGTTCTGAAAAAAAAAATATAATTGTTATGTATATAAATAACTAAATGTAGAATATATTTTGTAAACTGCATACAGGGAAATAATACACCTACTCACCATTTGTCAGTTCCAGTTGTTGTTTTTTAAGTCTTCGGATGGGCGAGGGGGCTTCAAACAGAACCCCAGAAGCCATAAATTGGGGGGTGGGGAACGCCCTGAAGGGAAACTGAGTCACGTCTGGCAATGCCCCACCAATTTCCGATCAACGTCAACAGCCCTGCGGGAGTTGCTCCAGCTGCAATTACAGATGCTGGAAGGCTGGGAAATTGTCTGGGTTTGATTGACAGATGCAAATCAGGACACTTTTTTTTTTTGCAGCAAGCACATCTATTTGCATATAGAAGCCTTTCGTCGCCCCCTGGAGGACGGGATGTGTGTTTCTCTTCGGGTTTTCTCCATGCCAAAATGCCCCCTGTTGGATGGTTTTAAAAAATGCATGTTGGAAAGCTCAAATTACATTCTTTGTCAGTTCCCGTCTTAAGTATGAAACATGTAGCCACAGATGTGCCAAGAATTCCCATTTGTCATTTTTAATTTATTCATCTGGAGCATTTATTTGCTTGGAATCCGAGTCTGTCTCTGCCAGATTTTTTTTTCCCTCCCTTCCTCCCTCCCCATTAATCCAAAGCTTACGCTTGGTCAGTTTTTACAAAGAATGCTCAAAAGAAAACAAGTTAAGACTTTTAAAAAATAGTTGTAAACAATGCAAAATAAAACCACATTTTTTCTCTCTCGATAAATTACTTTTATAAATTCAGCATGATCTGCTCCTTGGGGCATTAGGGAAGCATAAAATTATTATTTTTTAAAATAACAGTCATCCTGTTCTATGCTCTGAGAAGGTCACCAGATCACCCCCACCCACCCACGCTGGAAGCAAAAAAAAATAAAAAAAAAATCAGAATTGCTGTTGCATCAGTGCAAGACAAGATTCCAGTTAAAAACGGCTTGCAAATTCCAGAAGAGGGAGGAATTAAAACAGAAAAGAGCTTGCATGCTTCACTTGCAAGATATTTGGAGAATGTGCCACCAGCACAGGGCTGCTTCTTCAACACGAGGCTTGCTTGCATATCTTGAAATCCTGGAAATCTGCAACTATCCCAGCAGGGGAGGCCAAGGGGCTGGGGGAAATCTGGGGGCAATTTAATCCCCACCCTTATGCAATTTGGAGAGGCAGGCATAACATTTCTTAAAAAGAGGGTTTAATCCAAGCTCAGCATCTTTCTGGGGTTTTTTTTGGGGGGGGGGGGAAATCACTAGATTTGAAGCTAAGCCGTAAAGAGAAATATAAATGCACCAAGGAAGGAAGGAAGGAAGGAAGGAAGGAAGGAAGGAAGGAAGGAAGGAAGGAAGGAAGGAAGGAAGGAAGGAAGGATGAGAAAGGAAAGGAAAGGGAAGGAGAAAGGAAAGGAAAAGAAAAAGAAGAATAAAGAAGGGAACGATGAAGAAGGGAAGGAATTGCAAAGAGAAACTAAAGTAGTTTTATAGGACCCCCCCTTCATAATCTCACTGCCCCAAGGGATTAAAAAAAAATGAAGCCTTCCAGCAAAGTTTAAAAGTTCTTAACCCAAAGTATTTGCAGAAAGAAGATGGGAAAAGCATGGAGCCATCTTAAGAACACCCAAAGTTCCCCCAAATTAAAAACGAGGCGATCCAGGCAAGGCTGCAAACGAGCAACATTTTGATCAGGTTTCCACACACGCATGCACGCCCCCCCCCAAACTACCTCTGCAGGAAAGAAGCTGGAGTTGGGGAACGTCAGCTCCCATCAGCCACTGCCTGGAGGGTGGGAAGATGGGAGGCGTAATCTGACGCCCCCCCTCCCCGTGTTTTAATAAGAATGGATCTGGGCAATTGTCCAGCCAAATTCCAGGAAGGGGGTGGGTGGGTTGAAACGCTTGGTCCCACAACCCCAAAATGATTGAAAGCAGAGGAATCAAAGAGTTTGGAAGCTCATTGGAAGAACACAGTGACTCTTTTTTCTCTCCCCCCCCAAAAGAAGGCACTTAGATCTTAGATGCCGCCCCCCCCTCAGGCTGTCAATGCCCTACTCAAGAGTGTGGGTCCAGCTAGCCTGGTGTTCTGGACCTCAGATTCTAGTGGGCACCAAGCATCCAGAAGCATCATACCCCAAACGACTGGTCCTTTCGGTTATCCACCACCCCAAAACGGATCCAGAGGCGGAGATGGGGAGCTTAAAGGGGGGGGGAATAGTTTGTAACAAGTGAGTAGCAGCGTCCCCAAAGGGTAGCCCAATGGATCAAGGCAGCGAGTGACAAAGACGGGGATGAAAAAATGCAGAGAAACATCGAAGAGACGCGACGAATGGGCGCGTTGAGAAGGCACATGGGAGTCTCCGAGGAGGTGGTGGGCTTGTTATCTGGCCTCGGTTGTGGTTGAGAAACATCGTGTATGGATGCTCCCCGTCCACTGCTTGAGGCTGGAGGAGGTGGTTGATCTCACAAGAGGGTCCTCCCTTGGTTATGAGAAGAAGAACCGTGTCTCCAAGCTTGTGGAGCAGCTGGACCTCCAGTGGTTCAACCATCAACGTTCACCCATCAGCTAGATGGCCATCAACTGTAATTCGCTTCGGTCAAGGATTCAGCCCGGCGCTCCCAGGAATGGCGTGGCTGGACGTACCCCGTGGTGCCACACCATGGATAGGAGTAGGACTTCAAGGTCTCTACTGCCCTGTCCATGTTGGCAGAAGATGGCATTCCCGGAGGCCTACTGAGAAAGGCTGGGGTCCAGCAGCTTCAAGACGCCCCCCACCAAATGCAGGCTGCCCGTCACGAGGACGCGGATGGCCACGGCTTCCTTGAGCAGAACGGCCCCGCTGCTGGCCACGGGGTGCGGGTGGAGTCCCTGGGGCCCCAGCGCCGGCAAGTGTGGGTCCCTGCCTTGCGTGATCCACTGCAAGGCGTGCGAGATGCAAGGGAACACCAAGGAGTTGGAATTGAGCGGACGAGCCGAGGCGGCGGCGAAGAGGGGGGGGCTGTGAAGCGGGGGCTGCTTCAGCCAGCCCCCCACCTCGGGCAAGACAGGGAACCAAGGGTCCTGCGTCAACTTGGCCTCCATCAGACGGTTCCAGTGGTTCTGATTCTGCAGGCAGCGCGTCAGGACGTTCTCCAAGGTGACGTTGAAGTTCTGCTGATCTGCAGAAGATGTGCGGAAACGAAGGAGGGGAGGAGTCAGGATGAGGCCCATACTCACCTCTCCAGGCCCGAGGATTTGGCAAATAATGTCAGGAAAAGCCACGGGCTGAAGACCCCTTTGGTCCTCAAGAGACCCCTCCCCCTTCAACACCTACCTGCGCTTCCCACCGTCGACACCTCGGTGTAGTTGGGGCAGAAAACGGCGTAATCAAAATGGCAGGGCTGCAAAGAGAAAGAGTGAAGGGGGCGGGGTCAAGCAGCGGCGGTCCTGTTTTGTGCCTATATCCTTGAGGAACTGCGCACCAGCTGGAGGGATAGGAGGCTCTGGAAATAAGGAAAATGACTCACCAGCAACAGTTTCAGCAAAGCAGCCGTATCCCGGTCTCCGGTCACGTTGAACAGCAACACTCGGACTTCGGAACCGCTGTAAATGCAGGGAAAGAAATGGTCCTTATATTAGCCCTTTTCTCCCTTTCCTTCCTTTCTTTCTTCCTTCCTTTTCAAGGACACCTCAAAATTATAGAATTCATTAGATTTTGTCCCTCCCTCCCTCCCTCCCTCCTTTCCTTCTCTACCTTCCTTCCTTCTTTATCTTCCTTTGCACAAGGACACCTCAAAATTATAGAATTCATTAGGCTTTGTCCCTCCCTCCCTCCCTTCCTCCCTCCCTCCCTCCCTTCCTTCCTTCCTTCCTTCTCTACCTTCCTTATCTTCCTTTTCAAGGACACCTCAAAATTATAGAATTCATTAGGCTTTGTCCCTCCCTCCCTTCCTCCCTCCCTTCCTTCCTTCCTTCCTTCCTTCCTTCCTTCCTTCCTTCTCTACCTTCCTTATCTTCCTTTTCAAGGACACCTCAAAATTACAGAATTCATTAGGCTTTGTCCCTCCTTTCCTTCCTTCCTTCCTTCCTTCCTTCCTTCCTTCCTTCCTTCCTTCCTTCCTTCCTTCCTTCCTTTCCTTTCTTCCCCTCTCCCCCTTTCCACCATAAAAAAGCAATCCCTTCTTTCCTTAAACCAGCTTCAGGACAGATTTCACACAAACAAACACACCCAGCCCAGCCCAGCTTACTCTGTAGGTTTGTCTTCATTCAAGGCCGCCTGGCGAAACCACCGGACGCAGGCCTGCACACTGCTGGTGGTGTGGGCCCCATCAATGTACCACGTCACTGGGCCGTGGTGCAGCACTTGGTTACGTCCGAGCCACACGGCTGCTTGCAGGCCTGGGAAGCAAAGCGAAAATCAGCCACCCTGCCCTGCTGAGAACGCTGCAGCTTCCTGATCAGGAACTAAGTTTCTAGCCCACATGATTCTGGAGAGGATCAGCTAGAGATGTGGTAAAAATAGGATTTTCTTTGGCTTAAAAATGAAATGATTAGGGGAAAGCTGCAGAAAACAGTATCAAGGGTTGTCTCCTGCAAAGCTGTGTGTGGTTCACGCTAAGCTACGAATGATGGTCCACCAGTGCTGGCTTCACACAACCCATTACGCTCAACCCAAACCCTTGATAATGCAGCTTTGAATAAGAGATTCAAAAGATCTTTATGAAAGTTTTGGAGAGGCCAAACTGTCACATCCCTGCCCCGTGACTCTAAGTGGCATAATTGAATCTTTCCGTCCCTTCTCCAGGCCGCTCAGCATCCTTCAACGGACATCCTGGGTGGGACCCGGCCAAAGAAGACTCAACACTGGGGCTTTTGTTTCACCAAGAAAGGGTCCGTCTGCCGGGGCTGAGTTGATGTCTGCTGAAAGTCAAGGGCGGGGGGGGGGGTGAGGGAGGGGCAGGAAATAGGTCAGGAGGCAGCAATGGGATGGAGGGAGGGATGGGGGGAGGAGGAGGAGGAGGCGGTGGTGGTAGACAATAAGAAAGGAGAAAGAGATAGATAGATAGATAGATAGATAGATAGATAGATAGATAGATAGATAGATAGATAGATAGATAGATAGAGTTATAGAGAGAGAGAGTGAGAGAGAGAGAGATAATAAGAAGATGGGAAAGAAGAGGAAGAGGAGGAGAAAGATAATAAGAAAGAGGAGGAAGAGGAGATAGATATATATATAGAGAGAGAACAGAGATAGAGAGATAGAGAATAGATATAGATATCTTCTAGATAGAGATAGACAAAGAGATAAAGAGATAGATATAGAAAGAGAATATATAGAGAATAGATGAATGGATGGATAGATAGATAATAAGAGGAGGAGGAGAAGAGGAGGAAGTAGATAAGAAAGAAGAGAAGGAGCAGATAAATAATAAGAAAGAAGAGGAGGAGGAGGGGAAGGTAAATAATCAGAAAAGAGAAGGAGGAGGAGGAGGAGAGGAGGAGGTAGATAAGAAAGAAGGAGCAGATAAATAATAAGAAAGAGGAAGAGGAGGAGGAGGAGGAGGGGAAGGTAAATAATAAAGAGAAGGAGGAAGCAGAGGAGAAGACAGATAACAAGGAACCAAAGGTAGAGAAGAAGAAAAAGGGAAGGACCGCCCACCTTGCACCATGGGCTGCTCCGGCTTAAAAGCAGGGGCCAAGCAGGGCACCTTCTTGGATGGAGCTTCAGAGGTCAGCCACGAGTCCTTCAGCTCACCAGCATCTGAAAAGCGAAATATAAATCTAAATAAATCAGGGGAAGCCCCTTTGTCCCTCACTCTGCCAAGATGCTACAGACGCTTTCTGTCACGGGGGTATCAAGCCTCTCCCCCAAATGCCAGCTCCCAACTTCCAGAAACTGGGATGGCGATCAGGAAGGTTGGCAGGATTCCTTCCTTCCTTCCCTTCTTCCTCTCATTCCTTCCTTCCTTCCTGTCTCCTTCCTTCCTTCTCCTTCCTCCTTCCTTCTTTTCCTTCTTTCTTTCCTTCCTTTCCTTCTTCCTTCCCTTCTTCCTTCCTTCCTTCCTTCCTTCCCTGGTGCATTTATATTTCTCTTTAGGGCTTAGCTTCAAATCTAGTGATTTCCCCCCCCCCCAAATAAAACAACAACAGAAAGATGCTGAGCTTGGATTAAACCCTCTTTTTTTAAGAAACGTTATGCCTGCCTCTCCAAATTGCATAAAGGCGGGGATTAAATTGCCCCCAGATTCCCTCCAGCCCCTTGGCCTCCCCTCCTGGGATAGTTGCAGATTTCCTTGCCAAGAACGAGTGAACTGTGTGTCTCTGTGTGTGTGTCTGTGTGTGCCTTTCCTTACCCAGATACCCACAACGGCTCAGCCAGGTGCGGGACAGCTGGAGGGCTAAAGCAGCATTCGAGCGCTGATGATCACCAGCCAAACCTAGTTTGAGGAGCTTGCCGCGGTCTTCAAAGGCTTCCAGGTCAGGGCAGAGGAAAAGCGGGCACTGCGGAAGAAAGAGGAGACCCAGGGATGGTTTTGCTGCATATAACGATGAGCCCTGGGGGCCCAGGGGTTAGGATGCAGTACTGCAGGCTGCCACTGCCCACTGCCAGCAGTTTGATCCTGACAGGATTCAAGGATGATTCAGCCTTCCATCTTTCTGAGGTTGGTAAAATAAGGACCCAGATTGTTGGGGGCCATAGGCTGACTGTATAAACCGCTTAGAAAAGGCTGTAAAGCACTTGAAGTGGTATATACGTCTAAGTGCGCTCTCTCTCTCTCTGTCTCTCTCTCTCTCATTGTCTACCTATCTCAGGGGTAGGCAACCTTGGCTCTTTTATGACTCGTGGACTTCAACTCCCAGAATTCCTGAGCCAGCATGGCTCAGCTTGGAAACCTCTCCCTTTCCCCTCTGCATGGCTGGCTCAGGAATTCTGGGAGTTGAAGTCCACGAGTCATAAAAGAGCCAAGGTGGCCTACCCCTGACCTATCTCAATCCATCCATCCATCCATCCAACCACAACTTCTGGAGGCAAGTCGTTCTACTGATTAATTGTCCCAACCATCAGGAAATTTCTCCTTAGTTCTAGGTTGCTTCTCTCTTTGGTTAGTTTACATCCGTTGCTTATCTTTTGCAGAAGGGAATTATTGGGTGTGTGTGTGTGTTTTAATTAGCTTATCTTAAATGTCATCTACGTCTGGGCTCCCCAACCTTGGCCACTTGTGGACTTCAGCTCCCAGAACGGGCTGTGCTGATTGGGGTCTTCTGGGAGTTGAAGTCCACAAATCTTCAAGGAGCCAAGGATGAAGATCTCTGATCTACGTGGAGGACTGAAGTCCTAGGAAAGTCGATGCGGCAGCTCTGGACTTCCTAAGGTTTGTGTGTAAGTTGTCCATTGTGGCCTCCACCCCCAACAGCTACTAGAGGGCTTGATCTTCCAGGAAAAGCTAGAAGGAAACATGGGGGCCTTACCTGGCACTCTTCAGCTCTCTGTTTCAGGACATCTAAGGGCCTTTCCGGTTGAGGCACCGTGAATGCTGGCACACCGGGCTGAAAGACAGATTAAAATGCTCTATTTTGATTTTGATTCAAGGGTTCTCCAGGTTTCTCAAGCCCATCTTAATAGCACGAAGGTTGAGAGAGAAGATCTCTCCAAGACATCTACCTTGAAGATGCCTCCTTTCTGCCAAGCTATCTTCTCGATGGTGTCTCCCAAGATGCTGGTGTGGTCAATGCCCAAGGAGGAGATCCCACATACTATTGGCTTCCTACAAGGAAGACAAAGAGAGGGAGATGTAGAAGACTCTCCCAGGAGGGAAAGTCAAGATTCTTGGCATGATCCTAGAAAGCCATCAAGAGAAGAACAGATGTCCACCAAACACGAGCCATTTCTGAACAGAGAGGGAAACCCAGCCTTTGGAAGGCTAATGAGGCAGCATCCAGAAGTTCAACCTCCATACCTGACAATATTTGTGCAATCGTAGGCGCCCCCAATGCCAACTTCTATAACCGCCAAGTCAACCTGGGAAGAAGATACAAAATCGCTCATGGTCTCATGGCCCAAGAGGTTTGGGGCCCTCCAGATTGTGGACCACAGCAACCATCCATGGGCCAGGCTGCCTGAGGATATGGCAATGTCACTTTTTGGTCTTCAAGAACGAGCTATTTAAACCCAACCAGGATCAGTTTAGACAGGGCCACAAGGAGTTGACTTCTCCACGTCCAGACCTTCTAAAGGGATTCTTCCCTATCTAGAGAACTACAGGGAAGCATCACGTTTGGGCTCAACTCAAGTTGGGGATGCTTAGGTTTCAAAGCCAGGTTCTGGATCTCCAGATGTTGGACTCTGCAGTTCAACAACATCTGGACAATCACCAGAGCCCCACCTATCTTACCAAAACGAATCTTCCCCCCCCCCAATTTTTTAAAAATGGCATTTTTGGCCCAACATACCTTCTCTTGCAGGAAGACGTGGAAAGCCATGATCGTAAGGAACCGGAAATAAGCAGGCATGGAAGCGTGATGGGGGTCCTGAGAAGACCACAAAGGGGTTAGGAGGATCGCAATTTGAGCAATGGACAATCCAGGTCTCAAATCCACATTCCACTGGCCACTATCAAAATCCAGGTTCAGTCTAAATGAACTTCTTTTGATTTCTGGAATGGGCTTATCTTGAAGACTTACAAATAGCTGAGCTAATTTCTGAGCTAGATCTTGGCACGGAGAGAACAATATGCTTTTATCCACCAAGCTCAGGAAAATATTAGAAAAATTGGAGGGGCACCCTTGCTCCACGTTGCTTGTCCCTTCCATTTCTTTGTCCCAACCCCATCGCTACCATCTCTGCTTCTAAGATAGGACACCTCACCAGGTGACACCAAACATACCTTGGTCTCCTCCAACCGGTTATACACCTGCCAGAAATATTTGCTAAAAAGCTCTTGGCTGATGGGCTGACCGTTAATCCGAATTCTCTCGCGGACTTGAACCAGATGCGGTGAACTTGGGGGAGAGAAATCAAGAGAGCCAGGATTACTTAGCTCAAGCTTTGAATGGCCATCACGCCAGGGTTGAAATAAAAATCCTAGACCGATGGAAGGTATTTGTTAAATGTTAACGGAACCAGAAAAACTCTGCCAATCACCGCTCAGGCCGTTTTGAAAGCAGGGTTTTACGATCGACCGAATTCTGTTTACCTTCCGGAGATCGAGTAAGGATTAATAGCAATTCAAAGTACGATTAACGCAGCTTGAACTTTGATTTTAAAAGGAAGCAGAGTTTTTTTTTTTAAGTATGCAGTCCTGTGCTTGCATTTTATTCCGATTTTAGAGAGATTGCGCCAGCTGAGATCAAAGGCCTGCTTAGTCGGGCAGCCTGTTCACAAGCTGGAAAAAAAATCAAAGAGTGCCAGGAAGCTGAAAAGGTTTTTTATGTTTGTATCATTTGGATAATTGGGAAGATTTAAAAAACTGATGAGGGAGGAGGAGGAGGAGGAGGAGGAGAAGGAGGAGGAGGAGGAGGAAAGAGAAGGAGGAAGAAGGAAGGGAGGAAGGAAGGGAGGGAGGAGAGCAAAGAGCATAGAAGGAGAATGACTGTGGCAAAAGAAAGAAGAAATACTCTCAATACACTCAATTTCTAGCTAATTTTCCAGCTGGCACAGAAGACAATCCACGCCCCAAGCAGCCCACTAGGACATTTACCTGTAAAAACCGGTCTTTAAATTATAGTTGCGCAGAATCCGCTCTGTGAAGGCGCAGGCAGAACCCTGATGGGTTAAAAAGGGGGGAAAAAAAATATCAGCCCCCACTCAAAGGAATCCAGGCTGCTCACTACCTTGGCCAACCTGTTTTTTTTCCCTTAACAGCTGAATCAAAGGCTAACAAGAATCCTGAAAATTGGGCCGAGGGGCTTGAAGGGCCCATGAGGGGCGTAGGTGGCCGACCCCTTCCCTTCGTACTCCGAGTTCATTTTAAAAATGGCTTGTGGTCTCTGCCCAATCACCTTCTCTATGGTTTTCTGCCAGATGTCGTTGTCCCTTCCAGGTATTTTACGTGGACAGAAAGAAGTGCCAACTTGGGTGTCAAGGAATAGATTGGAGAATTGTTCACCGTCAGTTTTGCAAGTGTCTTCTGATGTTAAAAACGGGCCACTGGAGCAATAGATTTCCAGATTTAATAATTGTAAGGACTGAATTGTCCTTTCTTTTCTTTCCTTCCTTCTCTCCCTCGTCTTCCTTCTTCCATCTTCCTTCGTTCTCTCTCTCGTCTTCCTTTCTTCCTTTTCTCCTTCATCTTCCTTCCTTTTGTCTTCCTTTCTTCCTTTTTTCCGTCATCTTCCTTCCTTCTCTCCCTCATCTTCCTTCCTTCCTTCTTCTTCCTTTTCTCCCCGTCTTCCTTCCTTCTTTCCCTCATCTTCCTTCCTTCCTTCTCTCCCTCATCTTCCTTTCTTCCTTCTCTCTTCTTCCTTTCTTCCTTCCTTCATCATCCTTCCTTCCCTCATCTTCCTTCCTTCCTTCCTTCTCTCCCTCATCTTCCTTCCTTCCTTCCTTCTCTCTCATCTTCCTTTCTTTCTTCCTTCCTTCATCTTCCTTCCTTCCTTCCTTCCTTCTCTCTCTCATCTTCCTTTCTTCCTTCCTTCTCTCCCTCATCTTCCTTCCTTCGTTTTCAGTGTTCCTTCCCTTTCTCCCTCATCTTTCTTCCTTCCTTCTTTCCCTTGTCCTTCCTTCCTTCTCTCCCATCTTCCTCCCTCCCTCCCTCTTTTTTTCTCCTTCTCTTGTTTTATTTATTCAAAACACCGTAATGTCCATAGTGGTAACAAGGTTACCACAGATGTCATATTTGTCATTGCTCATTGCTGATAAAATTTAGGAAGTCTCCCACCCTGTTCCCTCCAGTCCCCCCCCCCTTACCTTGCCCTTTGTCCCAGTCACATGAATGATGTTGAGTTGATTCAGGTCTTCGACCTGCCGGACAAAACCCTGGTCAGTTTTTGCTTTCCGCGTCATTACCCCCTACCAGGAATCCAGGAAGGGTAGAGCACACACCCTCTCTTCGCTCTTCGTCCCCACCCCCCAAAAAAAGCAGAAGACCCTCAAAAACTCACTTGCCCACCACAGGAGTGAGAGAAGCCCCTGCCCCAAAGACAAAAAAAAAAGTCATTTACCTTCAGTCCGGTACGTTCCAGAAACCCAGCCATCGCTTGCAACTGCAGCTGGGGGTCTCCCCTTTCTTTCTTCACCTGCTCCAGGTAGCTGGCGTTGGTCTGGAGGGTGTTCAGAGTCCGGATGGCATCCTGGAATTGCAAGCAGGCGGACATCGAGGGGGTTAGGCTTTGCGCTCCTTCCATGGGGGGGGGGGAAAGGAACCGACGGAGCTGGTCCCAATTATGGCTGCCAAACTCTCCCTGAGAATCTCAAGTTTCCCTGACCACCCCCCTATCCCAAAAACAGACACCTGAAATAGGAAGACGTTGGCCCGGGGTTCAAGTTTTGTGTTGCACAGGCTGATCTTTTCAGGACAAGCCAAAGCGCTAGGAGAAAAAATCTGCTTATTACGAGATCCTTCCTGGCGAATTTTCGGCGCCTCCATTGCTGGAGGGCGAGACTTCCGCGGTCCAGCCCCGCTGGACATTACTGTCCGGAGTCTGTCCGTCATCCTGTCTCTATGAATGTTGCAACCCCGGGGGGGGGGGGAGTGAAGAGGGCCTGGCTTCCCTCTCTAAGCAAACACAACCCCTTTACAAACATCTAGGGTAAAATGCACGAGGCTTAGCACACACCCAGGAAACAAATGAAAGGATGATTCTTGAATTGAATTCTGATTGGGTTTTACGGATGATGAGCTGAAAAGAAACGACGGGGGGGGGAATTAATATTGCACGTGGGAACTGGGGCAAAATTACTGCATGCGCCAAGAGGAGAGAATCGTGAAATACACACCGAGGAGAGGTTCGGGGTTTGCAAAACTGACAAAAGAGTTCGTGGAGCTAGCGACGCTCACCAGCTGGGGCGGGAAGAAAATGATGGAAGACTTTTTTTTGAAAAGCTAGAAACTTTATACGGACGTTTTGCGGAAAGAGGAAACAAGTGAAGGGATGATTTGGGGCTTAGAAAGGTGACAGAGGAAGGAAAAAGAGGAAGATGTTCAATTGACTGACGGGAAAGAAGGGTGGAAGTTACAAGCCTGTTTTTTTTTCTTTTTTCCATATATTACCTTTTCTTAATTTTGTGTATGTGTGTACTTTTACTGCAATGAGGAAGAGAGGTAGGAAGTAGGGAGGGAGGGAGGGGTGAGGGAGGGAGGGAGAGAGGGAGGAAGGAGAAAGAGATGGATGGATGGATGGATGGATGGATGGAAGGAAGGGGCAAGAGATGATGGCTGGCTGGCTGGATGGGTGGGTGGTAGGACGGAGGCAGGGAGAGAAAAGAGATGGATGGATGGATGGATGGATGGATGGATGGATGGGGAAAGATGGATGGATGGTTGGAAGGAAGGAAGGAAAGGAAGGAAGAAGGGAGGGAGGGAGGGAGGGAGGGAGGGAGGAGGAAGAGATGGATGGAAGGATGGAAGGAAGGGGCAAGAGATGGATGGCTGGATGGGTGGGTGGAAGGACGGAGGCAGGGAGAGAAAAGATGGAAGGAAGGAAGGAAGGAAGGAAGGAAGGAAGGAAGGAAGGAAGGAAGGAAGGAAGGAAGGAAGGAAGGAAGGAAGGAAGGAAGGAAAAAAAGATGGATGGGTGGGTGGGTGGAAGGACGGATGGAGGGAGAGAAAAGAGACGGATGGATGGAAGGAAGGAAGGGGAAAGAGATAGCTGGAAGGAGGGAGGGAGGGGAAAGAGATGGATGGATGGATGGATGGATGGATGGATGGATGGATGGATGGATGGATGGAAGGAAGGAAGGAAGGAAGGGGCAAGAGATGATGGCTGGCTGGCTGGATGGGTAGGTGGAAGGACAGAGGGAGGGAAGGAATAGAGGGAGAAGTTTTCTCAAAGTATTCTACCACACAGGGGAGCTAAAATGAGAATTTCCCACCTAAAACACAGGAGCTAAACCTCAGGAATAAAACACAACCTGTGTAGCATTGCACCTTTCCGGACAGCTCGCCTCTCCCAGCAGAAACGAGCTTAAGAGTTTTGCAGACCAGCAATCTGGAATTCTCCCAAGGAGATAGCAGCTGAGGAAATGTTACAACCTCACATACACCCTCTATTCTGAAAAGCCGAGAAGGGAGAACCTTGAATAAAACAATAAAATTCGATAACGTGACTCAAGTCCAAGTTCCTTTCTGCGGTGTCGACTCAAAGCCCTCCCATCTTCTCCTTGGACAAGGTAGCTGGGTACGAAGCAACCTGTTTCTGAAATTATTTCTACAGGGATTGAATCTTTCTTTCCTGGGATCCAGGAAAAGCTCTATGGATCGGAGACGGGATCGTGGAAGTTATGTCTTTTGCAAGAACCATCCAGGTGCAATTTTTCCGAGTAACCCCAGATTCCTTTCTCCACGCTCCCCACAGAGTTGGGAAACATTTCTAGGAACACAAAGATGCTTTTTTCAGGAAGCAACCAGACTATTTTTTTCCCCTTGAAGACGTTTCACTTCTCATCCCAGAAGCTTCTTCAGTTCTTCAGAAGGCAACTGGACTTTCTTGTTTTTCTTTGGAAGACGTTTCGCTTCTCCTCCAAGAAGCTTCTTCAGCTCTGACTGGATGCTGGGGAATGGAAGGATTGATAAGCTCCCAGTGGCCTCAAGGACTCTCAGAAGTGCAAATGACCAGCTGTCTGCAAGGAGTATAAATCCTTCCATTTCTCACCATTCAGTCAGAGTTGAAGAAGCTTCTGGGATGAGAAGTGAAACGTCTTCAAAGGGAAAAAACAAGAAAGTCCAGTTGCCTCTTGAAAAAAGGCACTTTTGAGACAACCACGGACCTGGAGGACGGACAATCTCCGTAGATGTTTCCAGGGACTTGGTGGCACCGAGAAAGTTGATGCTTGAAAACAATCAAATCCAGATTCTAACCAGGGCTAAAACTGGCAGGAAAACATTAGCAAAGGTATCGTAAAATTGCCTTTCTTTCGAAAGCAGAGCTGGTTCACTTGGGGACACCGTACCGTGCCTGAAAAAAAACACCTCCTAATGCCTCCATGCGCAAAACCTTTTGCACCATCTGTGCAGCGAACGTGTACGAAACACCTGGAGAGATCGAGGAACGCAACAACACAAGGCGTACAAAACACACGTCAGAAAGCAACAACCCGGCCTCCTTGGCATATATCCAGACTGCAATCCAGATGGACCAGCTACCTCCTTTTTTATTTTTATTTTTTTCCCCTCCTGGAACAAGATCTGCCTGTTCGGACCCATATCAGGAGCTCATCTGAGCTTCCTGCTTTTCAAATGTCGTAACATTTGCAAGCGCAAACAGGATTCGTATTGATTTCCAGCTGAGTTGCCAGGCACACAAGGAACGACACAGGTGTGGAAGCGGTTCGGCTTTCAAAGACACAGGGAAGTCCTCAACTTTACAACCACAACTGGCAATTTATGTTGCTAAGCGAGGACTATCTGAACACAAGGACAGCTGAAATGGCTGTTTTGCATCTCAAAGTCACCACCATGACACACACACACACACACACCCTCCACACACCAACACAGGAAGATGATCACTGAATCCCACTTGGACAAATATTTTTTGCAAATGTCTCTAGGTTTGCAGAACGCAAAAACAAATAAAGAGGAATTTATAATATCAGAATTGAGCTGGAAGGGACCTCGGAGGTCTTCTAGTCCAGCCCCCTGCTCAAGCAGGATACCCTCTTTCAGATAAATAATTGCCTAATCTCCTCTTTAAAACCTCCAGTGATGAAGCACCCACAACTTCTGGTGGCAAGCTGTTCCACTGGTTAATTGTTGTATTAGGGAGTTTCTCTTTTAGTTCTAGGTTGCTTCTCTCCTTGCTTAGTTTCCACCCATTGTTTCTTGTCCTGCCTTCAGGTGCTTTGGAGAATAAGTTGACCCCTCCTCTTCTTTGTGGCAGCCCCTCCAATACTAGAATCCTGTTATCATGTGTGTCCCCCCCCCACCCTAGTCCTTCTTTTCTCTAGATTAGCCATCCCCAAATCCTGCAACCATTTTTCATTTGTTTTCATCTCCAGGCCTTTTAATTATCTTAGTTGCTCTCCTCTGCACTTTCTTCCGAAGTCTCAACATCTTTTTTGGGACGTGGTGACCAAAACTGGATGTTACACTCCAGTGAGATCTTGCAGACTTTGGGCTAAGACAGTGATGGCGAACCTTTTAGAGACCGAGTGCCCAAACTGCAACTCAAAACCCACTTATGCATCGTTGGGTGCCGGGTGGGTGTGGCCCATTGGCTGGGTGTGGCCCATTGGGTGGGCAGGGCTGCGGTGGTAACAGCAGACTGGGTGGGACTAAAAAGTTCAATCAATCAATTCCAACTTTGCAAGATCTTTTTTTTCCCACGGAGAAGTTGAAATTGACTGATTGATTGAATCTTTTTTTTTTTTTTTTTTTTTTTTGCACACAGCAGCAGAGGCCTAAAGTGAAAAGGTTTTCTAAAATCCAGCTGAAGGCCTAGGACTGGGGCGACGGCGCGTGTGCCCACAGAGAGGGTTCTGTGTGCCGCCTCTGGCACCCGTGCCGTAGGTTCTCCACCACTGGGCTAAGAGAAGAGACTTAACCAGACAGGATTTGAAGGAGTGGGCTTGAGCTAAAAATAAGCCTGGAGATGAGTGAGGTTGCAATAGGACATCCCAGTTCTAAAAAAAGGAGGTGCTTCCTTTCAAAGTACACATGGGTTACTGTACTGAGTATTTTGGGCACACAGCTGGAGCGATACTGTATTTCTGCAGCGTTGCATTCACGCACGTATCTCCCAGATCGTTCCTGCTACACATTCATATTTATTTTAACGTTTTGGACTCAGGGCTGCACAAACTCCCTTAAAAACCCCAGACTCCCAAGATAACTATGGATTGTCCACATCATTTATTCTGCACGTCTCCCCAAGCTACAAAGCCAAGGAACAACTGGATGTGATTAGGAAAAGGAAGAAAAACGCCTTGGGATTTTTCCTATTGCATCTAGAAAAAAACAACAACAAACAAATAATTTTGGGAAGGCGGACCTGGGCCACGGTTGGAAGAGCCAACCGAATTCTCCTGCAGGGGAGAAGCAATTTCACAAAATGGCACACTTGTAAAATAAAAGAAAGGATCTCACCTCCATGTTCCTGCTTTTTTTTTTTTTTTTTACTTAAAACCTACTGGGAATTAAAAAGAACAGCATGAGCCCCCAGAGGGAAGGATTCTTTGTAAAAAGCCCGCAGAAATCAGCCCGCTCTTGCATGTAGAAAAGTGGAAATTTGTCCCGGTCCCGATACATTTTTCACGCGTGATTGGATCTTATTTCCTGGAAAAGCAGCTTACTGGATTCGGCAAGAGGAGGCGGGAGAATTATCTCCTACCTAATCATTTCATGCTAAAAGTTGCTCAATTGAGGAAAAGGGAGAACTTAATCTTCTCCCAAACAGCATCAGGAGAGCCGGGAATGTGCAGTGATGTAAAGAAACTGATTAAAGAGATGTCAACATTTGGGAGGGAAGGAAAACAGAGATTAGTTGGGTAAGCCAAGGACAAAGTTTTAGGCTAAATATTTCTATTTAGGCAGGAATTTTTTAAAAGCTCCGAGATTGGGCAGTCTCTAAATTGGATAAAGTAAGAAAATAAATGAAGGCTGCGGTAAGAAATCCCTTGGAACACAGGGCCCGCACTGATAGGATTTTTATGATTATTTGTTTACTGCCTTTAGTGTTTACACAAACAAGCCAAGGAGGGGAACATAAACAACACATTTTCACCGCAGCAACAACCACCTTGGAGGTGGGTTGAGAGAGAGGGATTGGCCCAAAGGCACCCAGTTGGCTTTCGTGCCTAAGGCAGGACTATAGCTCCCAGTCTCCTGGGTTGAAGTCTCCCAACCTGCCGTGTCTAAGGTGGGACTAGAACTCACCCTCACCTAGTAATTGGCCCAAAATCACCCAGTTGGTTTTCATGCCTAAGGCTGGACTAGAAGTCCCAGTCTTCTGGTGACTGAAGTCCCCCAACCGGCTGTTGTGTCTAAGGTGGGACTAGAACTCACCCTCACCTAGTAATTGGCCCAAAATCACCCAGTTGGTGTTCATGCCTAAGGCCAGACTGGAACTCCCAGTCTCCTGGTGATTGATTTGAAGCTGTTGTGGCTGCATTCTAAGGAGGGGGGGAAATCTTAAAAATAATTGCAAATGGCTGCTCTAAAACCAGACGGATGCCCTAGGTTAGAATTGGGGTGTCAGAGAATTCAAAATCAAGGTCTGGAAAAGCCCCAAATCCTGTGCAGAGGGGGGGGGGGGCAGCAGATATGGAAAAGCATCAGTCATTGAAAGGATGGGAAGCGCTGTCTTTAGAGGGGACCTCCAGAGAGACCCCCCCCATCTCTGCCCCCTGCCTCCTCCACTTGTGTCGATTGCAGCTAAAGAGCAAAGCGACAAAGTGAAATAATTAAAAAAATGGAACAGTTGTGGGTGCTCCATCACTAGAGGGTTTCAAAAATAGACTGGGCAACCATTTGACCAGGTTGGTGTGAGGTCTCCTGCCTCAAGGAGAGGGGTGGATTAGAAGGCCTCTGAGGTCCCTTCCAGCCCGAAGGATCTAGGTTCTAAAGTACCACGGAGCCATCCACCTTTTGCCAGGAAATGAAAGCCACAGCCAAAAGGATAAGAAAAGTGCCACCCGGTACAATTTTGTTACTGATTGATAAAAGCACCTCTTGCTTTACAACAGGGAGGAGGAGGAGGAGGAGGAGGAGGAGAGGAAAAGGAGAAGAGGAAGAGGACGAAGAAGAGAAGAGGAGGAGGAAGAGGGGAGGAGGAAAAGGAGAAGAGGAGGAGGAGATGAAGGAGAGCAGGAGGAGGACGGAAAGAAGAGGAGGAAGAGGAGGAGGAGAGGAAAAGGAAGAAGAGGAGGAGGAGGAGGAAGAGAAGAGGCGAAGAAGAGGAGGAGGAGGAAGAGGGGAGGAGGAGGAGGAAAAGGAGAAGAGGACAAGGAAGAGAAGAGGAGGAGGAAAAGGAGGAGAGGAGGAAGAGGAGGGGAGGAAGAGGAGGAGGAAAAGGAGAAGAGGAGAGGAGGAGGAAGAGATGAAGGAGAGGAGGAGGAGGAGGGAAAGAAGAAGAGGAGGAGGAAGAGGGGAGGAGGAGGAGAAGAGGAGGAGAGGAGGAAGAGAAGGAGAAGAGAAGAAGAGGAGGAGGAGATGAAGGAGAGGAGGAGGAGGGAAAGGAGGAGGAGGAAGAAGAGGAGGAGGAGGAAGAGGGGAGGAGGAGGACAAAAAGGAGAAGAGGAAGAGAAGGAGGAGAAGAGGAGGAGGAGGAGGAAAAGGAGGAGAAGAGAAGAGGAGGAGGAGGAAAAGGAGAAGAGGAGGAGGAGGAAAAGGAGGAGGAGAGGAGGAGAGGGAGGAAAAGGAGAAGAGGAGGAGGAGGAGAAAAAGGAGGAGAAGAGAAGAGGAGGAAAAGGAGGAGGAGAGAAGAGGAGGAGGGGGAGGAAAAGGAGAAGAGGAGGAGGAGAAAAAGGAGGAGAGGAGGAGAAGAGGAGGAGGAGGAGATGAAGGAGAGTTGGAGGAGGAGGATGGAAAGGAGAAGAGAAGGAAGAAGAGGAGGAGGAGGAAGAGGGGAGGAGGAGAAAAAGGAGAAGAGGAGGAGAGGAGGAAGAGAAGGAGGAGAAGAGGAGGAGGAGAGGAGGAGGAGGAAAAGGAGAAGAGGACGAGGAAGAGGAGGAGAAGAGGAGGAGGAAAAGGAGGAGGAGGAGGAGGCCCTACATCCCACAGGAGACTTTTGACACGCGTGCATTCCCCTCCCCCCCCTCCAGGCGCAGGGCCAGCCCGCGATCCCCACACGTGCGCTCCAGCCCCGCGCCGGCTGACGCAACCCCGGCGGAGGGCGGCGGGTTCTCGGGCTCGCCGAGCCGCGTCGGAGCTCACCTGGTACTCCATGCGGGGAGCTCGGGCCGGTCGGGCGCTGAGGCACCGCCGCCAAGCCCGCGATGCGGCGGGCGGAGCCGCTGAGGGAACCGCTGGCAGAAAGAGCGCGAAGCACCAAGCCCGCAGCCGGCGCGAGCCCATGGCCAGCCGAGTGACGTCAGCGTGCTCCGCCCCCGAGGCGGCGGCGGCGGCGGCGCGCGGCGGCTCCTGCTGCACCGCACGCCACGCCTCCGTCTCCTCCTCCTCCTTTCGTGCGCAGGCGCCTAAAGGTGGGGTTTTAAAAAAAAAAAAAAAAGACGCCGTCGCCGCCATCTTTGGCAAGGGCAGATTCCCTCTCTACCAGGCCAGCCGGGTCCGGTAGAGATAAAACGGAGTGCAGAGGGACTCGCAGCTGGCGGGCTCGCTTTACGGAATTGGGTTGGAAGTGAGCTTAGAGGTCATCTAGGCTAACCCCCTGCCCAAGCAGGAGATTTTGTACCATTCCAGCTGGCTGAGGAATTGAAGTCCCAAAGTTGCCAATTTGTTAAAATTATACAGTGCTTTGAGAGCTGTATGCCACGAAATTTCATTTTAATGTGTGCCGATTAGTGTACATTCAAAGTGACAATAAAGTTATTATTCTATTCAATTCTATTCCATATTCTATTCTATATCATTCTATTATATTCTATTCCATCCCATATTGTTATATTCTATTCCATTCCATTCCGTATTTTCTATTCTATTCTATATTTTTATTCTAATTCTCATCCATATTCTATTCTACTCTATTCCATATTCTATTCTCTATTCTATTCCATATTCTATTCTATTCCTTTCCTTTCCTTATTTTCTATTCTATTCCATATTCTATATCCTTATTCTATTCTATATTGTTATGTTCTATTCTATTCCATATTCTATTCTTATTCTAATTCTCATCCATATTCTACTCTATTCATATTGTTCTGTTCTCTATTCTATTCCATACTGTTTTATATCCTTATTCTATTCTATTCCTTTCCATATTTTCTATTCTATTCCTATTCCATATTCTATTCTACACCCTTATTCTATTCTATTCCATTTTGTTATATTCTGTTCCATTCCATTCCTTTCCATATTTTCTATTCTATTCCATATTATATTCTTATTCTAATTCTCATCCATATTCTATTCTACTCTATTCGTATTCTGCTCTATTCTCTATTCTATTCCATATTCTATTTCTATTCAATATCCTTATTCTAGTCTGTTTCATTTCTATTCTATTCTATTCCTTTCCATATTTTCTATTCTATTCTACTCATCTCACCTGAGAGAGCAGGGTACACAGTGCAAAATGCAACATGAGCCAAAAGAAAAATCCCAATTTGCAGCCCAACGCAACGAGCAAAGAGATCAGCTGAGTGCAAAACACCCAATTTTCCAGTTAAGTCCCCCGTGCAAAGCAAGGACACAACAAGTATGCCCCCCGCCCACCTATACACAGCCCCCTCCCAGATTTTGTTTGCCTCCTTGGCGGCAAAGCAAAATTTAATTTCTAATTTCACTTTATTGGACCTGCTTCCTGAGCCAGTGGTAGGAACAGAAATATACCTGCAGGGTTGCTTGGATCTTCCTGCTTTCCATCATGAAGCTGAACCTTCGGCTTCAACTGCTTGGCCCAACCGCCCTCCTGGGGTGATTTTGGGGCAAAATTAAACATTAACAGCACAGGGAACTCTGCACCCCAACCAGGTTTGTTTAACCGGGGTTTAAAAGCGGCTGACTTTTCACCCAGTTTCGGAGGGGGGGACACGGTCAGCCTTGCCAGAAAAGTTCCTGGAAGCTGGGAGAAAAACCCAAGCAACTCCTGCCCTTTTAAAAGAAGAGTGTGTGTAAAATGTGTTTGTGTGTGTGTGTGTTTTCCAACAAGTTTTGTGAATGGCCAACACCACCACCCCTGGATTCCTGGCCTTGTGCATCAATAGTTACGTTTTTGGACACAACCTTCGTTCGTATAAATATTTACATTTTGCACACCGCGTTGAAACAAACTGGCAAACAAGCCACAATAAACAAGGGCCAACGGAGTTAATCATTGGCTTGGCGCGTCTCTGGATGTTTGATTTCGCCACAACAGAACAAAAAAAAACAACAACAACCCTCACTCGTGGTTTTTTTTTTCATAGTTTTAATTTCATCTTTTTTTTTGTTTTTGCATTTCTTCCAGCTTCATTCGTTCATTCGTTACTTTTCTCCTTTATCCCGTGCTAATTCAACGTTAAATGATCCGTAGTAGGTACTAACTCCGACGCTTTTGTGCGTTTCGAGAACGGGGATGCGGTCCCAACCCAAGCAGTTCATTCCATTTGTAATTCATTTCATCCCAAGCGCCCGAAAAGAGGCAAACATGATAAAAAAAAGGGTTCGATCTGGAGAATCAGAAGAGCTTGCAATGGGGAAAATGAAGCCAGCAAAACTTTTTAGGATTGATGATGGTTATTTTCTTCTTTTTTTAAAAAGCAAAAAAAACCACTTCACTTAGCCTCCTGCAAGAGAGCTAAGCTAGGAAGCACGTATTGGATTTTTTACTTTTTTTGCTATCCCAGGAAACGGGGTTTTTTTTTCCTTTAAAAAAGAAAACAAAAATTGCAAAATTAAAGCGAGGAGGGGGGGAAAAAAGGGGAGTCTCTCCGTGCTGCAGGAAACAGGCCTGAAGCAAACACCGGGATCATGTCGACGGTCACCGACGTCCAGCAAAATTCTCCAGAAGACCACGAATGGGAATAGCATCCTTTTTTTTTATCGGATTCCCAATCGCACAGCCCTTGTTCCGCCATGTCTCGTCTCCCTGCAGCAAAATATTAAATTTACGGCAGCCGATTCGTGCCAGCCAGCCTGTCTGCCTGCCTGCCTGTCTGCAAAGCACTCCAGGTCCAGAAAAAGAATGAATGAATTTCGGGAATCAAGGAAGCATTTCAGGGAAAGAAAGAAAAAAAAATAATAAGCAATCTCACACGCTCTCCGCCACGGCTCCAAGTCCACTGAAGGTCCTTGAAGGGTTTTCCGTAAATTGCGATTTTCATCCGAACCCAACTATTCCCATTGTTCTATTAACCCCCTCCCAAAAAGAAAAAAGAAAAGAAAAAAAAAAATAAATCACGAAATTAAAAAAAGAAAAAAAAATCTAAGAAATCACAATGCGTTAAAATCTCCGTCTCGACGCGACTTGGATTCAGAAGACCCGGTCGAACTCAGTCTGATTGGTTGCGGCGGGGTTCCTGCCCTGATTGGCCGGCTGCTGGGGCATGTGCCCGCCTCTCCTCCTGGGCGGGGCCAAGTACTCGAACATGGACTGGTTGTGGGTGGAGAGCATGTTCTTGAGGTCGGAGGGCATGGGGTCGGACCAGAAGAAGTCATGGTTCAGGGCGTCGTCACTGTCGATCCGCTGGGCGGGATCCAGGACCAGCAGCTTGTCGATGAGATCCAGGGCATAGGGATCCTTCACGTAGGCCTTCAGCCGCTCCTTGACCTTGCGCTTCTGGCCCTTGGGCAGCTCCAGCTTCTGGTACAGCTCGTACTTGTCCACGTTGGGCCAGATCTGAAAGGAGAAGTGGAATTCAGAGATGAGACGCATGGAGAGAAAAGAAGGACTAGGGGGGACGTGACAGGGGCTGCCACAAAAAAGATGTTGAGCGTCTGGAAAAAACTCAGAGAAGAGCAACTAAGATAGTCAAAAGGCCTGGAGACTAAAACCTACGAAGAACGGCTGCGGGACTTGGGTCTGGCTAGTCTAAAGAAGAGAAGAAATAGGGGAGACATGATAGCAGTCTTCCAGTATCTGTGGGGCTGCCACAAAGAAGAGGGGGTTAAATTATTCACCAGAGCATCAGTGGGAAGGACGAGAAACAATGGTTGGAAACTGATCAAAGAGAGAAGCAACCTGGAATTAAGGAGGCTTTGAAGAAGAGACAGGACAGCCATCTGTCAGAAATGGTGTAGGGCAGCGGTTCTCAACGTATGTGTGACGGCGACCCCCGTCACACAAACGTTATGCGCATGCGCGGCGCCACCCCCGGAGGCGCGCCGCCCCCCATGCGCGGCGTGCCCCCGGAGGGGACAAAATGGCAGATCGCCGCCTTTGGCGACCCCCAAAAAGAGGTTGATCGACCCCAAATGGGGTCGCGACCCATAGGTTGAGAACCGCTGGTGTACGGTCTCCTGATTGGGCGGGGGACTGGACTAGAAGACACTGATATTTTATTCTTTTGTTATTGCTCAGCTTAACTTCCTAAATTCAGTTGGAAAACACAAAGAGGTACAGAGAGTCCTTGACTTACAACCACTGTAACTTAAACAGTCACTAAATGAACTGCTGTAAGTCGAGGAATGATCCTATGCCTATTCTCTATTCTATTTCCTGTCCTATTCTATTGGCTATCCTTGACGTACGTCCACAATAGAGCCCAGAATTTTATGTTGCTAAGTGAGACGTTTGTTACGTGAATTTTGCCTCATTGGGCCACCTCTCTCACTCCAGCCGCTAAGCGAGTCGCTGCCCTTAAGTTAGTAATCTGGTTGTTAAGTGAATCTTTCCTTGTCGGAAGGTCGCAAAACGGGATCCCACGACCCTGGGGGCGCGGCAACCATCGTAAATGCGAGGCGGTTGCCAAGCCTCTGAATTCTGATCGCGTGACCGCGGGGAGCATCCGACGGTCGTTAAGTGGGAAAAAGGGTGGTAAGTGGCTTTTCCCAGGGCCGTTGTTACTTCCAACGGTCACTAAGCAAACTGTCGTTAAGTGGAGGACAGCCTTTAGGATGTCGGTTCTCACCTCGGGCGTGATGGAGCCGCAGAGCTGGCTGATCAGGGTGAGCTGATGCTGTTCGGTGTTGCCCTGCATGATGGGACTCCGTGTCCACATCTCCGCCATGATGCAGCCCCCGCCCCACAGATCAATGGGGGGCCCATAATCGCGTTCTCCTTAAAAAAAGAGAAAAGGCATCTCGAGTTAACCTTCCCAAAGATTAAATCTTCCAGCTACTCTGGAAAACAATTCTTGACTTTTCTTTTCTTGTTTTTATCAATGTTTCATTGATTTCTTTTTTGAGACAGCCCAGCCTTATGGGAACTGAAGTCCCAGGTGGAGCTCCAGAAGACCGATACTCCATCAGTCCACAAAGGTTGACCCAAGGCCCATGAGCCAGCCCAGCCATATGGGAACTGAAGTCCCACACAGAGCACCAGAAGCTTGATAATTCACCAGTCCACAAAGGTGACCCAAGGCCCATGGGCCAGCCCAGCCATATGGGAACTGAAGTCCCACGTGGAGCTCCAGAAGACCAATGCTCCCTCAGCCCCCAATCCAACCCAGAGATTCACCGCTCCTTCGTACCCAGTAGCAGCTCTGGTGGACGGTACCACAAAGTCACCACCCGGTTCGTATAGCGGTTGGGCTGGCTGTTCTTGGCCAGGCTGAAAGCCCGGGCCAACCCAAAATCGGCCAATTTCAAGACGCCATCCCGGGTGATGAGCACGTTGGCGGCTTTCATGTCTCTGTGAAGGATCTGGGAGGAAAAAAAAAAAAAAAGACGGAGAGAGACATGGGTGGCTTGTCAGGGTCGCCGTCCTGCTAGCTGTCAACCTCCAGATGGAATGTCCAAATAAAAAATCCAGGATTACTTTCGTTTCTGAAAAACTTGCTGTTTATTGAATACACGGCATGGTAAAGGCCAGGTAAAACTAACTCTAAAACCCCAAAGGCATCGGACCAAAGCATGGAACAAGGACATTCCCAGCCAAACTCCCCCGGATATTAGCGCAACTCCTGTAAACAAATTCTCTTTGTTATGAGAAACCCTCTGCTATCCTCTTCACACCTGCTAGAATGGCCTTGAAAGGTTTCCAGGAATTGGAGCGGTTTCGTTTCTCTAACTATCCCAGTCAAAAGCACCGTTTCCCTCCCCCCCCCCCACTTTACTCTAAGTCAGGGCCTGGTCTTCCAACTCGGCCCTTTGAGGACTTGTGAACTTCAACGCCCAGAATTCCTCAGCCAGCGTGCCTGGCTGAAGAATTCTGGGAGTTGAAGTCCACAAGCAGGGGATCTTTCAACTTGGCCCTTTGAGGACTTGTGGACCAATGCCCAGAATTCCTCAGGCTGAGGAATGCTGGGAGTTGAAGTCCACAAGTCCTCAAAGGGTCAAGTTGGAAGACCAGGCCCTGCTCTAATGAGGCAAATTGTCACTAGCATCACTTCACATTGACATTGTTCAATGGGAGGGAGGGAGGTTAGAATGGGGGAGGACAACGGGAGGAGGGTCTGGTAGCCAAGCAGTGCTGGGAGGGAGACACGCCAAGCCAGCCCCAGAATGTGGAGACAAAGCGGGTGCACACAAACAACCTGGAACTTTTCAATTGGTCAAAGACCAACAACAAAGGGAAAATCCTGGGGGGAAAAAGGAAAATTAAATATATCATTCGCAGGCCGTTTCAGCAGATTCTGCTTTGCTATTCCCCACAGTTCCTTTAGCTACCGTTCAGTTACAACGGCACTGAAACAAGAGCGACTTTGGACCATTTTGCCCACTTAACCACCGTGGTCGCGCGATTTACATTCAAACCCTTGACAAACGACTCACCTTTACGACAACGGCAGTGTCCCGGGGTCACGTGAACCCCTTTTTTGTGCCCCCCCCCCGACAAGCAAAGTCAAGGGGGGGGGAAGCCAGATCCCCTTCAACAACCGTGTCACTTAAACTTAAAATATTGCAACGATCCGCTTAACAAGGTCGTGGCGAGGAAGGTCGTAAAACGGGGCAGATTTTTCACCCATTTCTCCCTTGACAACATAAATCGGGGACTCAGCTGCGGCCGCTAAGTTGAGGACTGACCTGTAAGCACTTTGGCTTCAGTTGGGTCAAAAGAAAGGTCTGGGGGTCTTTACTAACTAACTATGAGTGGGGGGAGGTTTTTTTCCCCCAAGGGAAGACCAGCTGAGATCTCCGGGGTCTACGAAGCCCGCGGGGACCCCTCACCTTATTCCGGTGGATGTAGTAGAGGCCGTTCAAGAGCATCTGCATCACCTTCTTGATCTCCGACAGCGTGAACTTGACGTGAGCGTTGCTGAGGAGGCCAGCCAGGTCGTGCTCACAGAAGTCGAAGACCAAGTAGATGCTGCCCTTGCAACGATTGTACGGGGAGGCTGCGGGGAACGAAAGGAAAACGGAACCTCACATTTTATCGGCTATGCCAGTCGCTTCGTCTGCTTCATCGCGTTTGGCTCCGTGGATTATATTAGCAACAGCAATAAGCATTTAGACTTATATATGTCACTTCACAGTGCTTTACAGCCCTCTCTAAGCGGTATACAGACTACAGCCCCCAACCATCTGGGGTCCTTGTTTGACCGACCTCGGAAGGATGGAAAGCTGAGTCAACCTTGAGCCGGTCAGGATCAAACTGCTGGCAGTGGGCAGAGTTAGCCTGCAATACTGCATTCTAACCTCTGCGCCACCATGGCAGATAGATAGATAGATAGATAGATAGATAGATAGATAGATAGATAGATAGATAGATAGATAGATAGATAGATGAGAGAGAGAGAGATATATAGGATATAGATATATATAGATCATAAAAAATGGCAATCCTCACTTAACAATAGCAACAGAAATTTTGTGCCCAATTGTGGTCATAAATGAACTGTACTGAAATGACTAAAATTGACACCATGACAACAATGACATCCAGTTCAGATTTAAGAGCTATTTGATCGGAACACAGAGCCCTTCCCTTGCAAACTATCCCTTAAATTGACATATAGAATAGAGCTGGAAGGGACCTTGGAGGTCTTCTAGTCCAGCCCCCTGCTCAAGCAGGAGAACCTGTACCATCTCAGACACAAGTGGCTGTCTAGCCTCTTCTTAAAAACCTCCAGGAATGGAGCACCCACAACTTCTGGTGGCAAGCTGTTCCACTGGTTAATTGTCCTCACTGTCAGGAACTTTCTTCTTATTTCCAGGTTGTTTCTCTCCTTGATCAGCTTCCAACCATTGTTTCTCGTCCTGCCCTCTGGTGCTTTGGTGAATAACGTGACCCCCTCTTCTTTGTGGCAGCCCCTCAGATACTGGAACACTCCTATCTTGTCTCCCCTAATTCTTCTTTTCTTTAGAAACCCAAGCCCTGCACCCATTTTTCGTATGTTTTAGTCTCCAGGCCTTTAATCATCTTAGTTGCTGCTCTTCTCTGAATGTTTTTTTTCAAACTCTCAATCTCTTTTTTTTGTGATAGGGTGGGCAAAGCTGGCCGCAGTTTTCCAGGTGTGGCCTCCCTGCGGTTTTCGTTTTAGCAGATAAAATTAAGCCCAGCAAGTCTGGACAACTAACCTTTAGTCCGGCATATTTCAATGAGGTTGACCACGTTTTCGTGTTTCAGCAACTGCAGGATTTTAATCTCCCGTAAAGCTGTGATTGGAAACTAGAGAGAACAAGAGGGAGAACATATTTGCATCCAAGGCGGGAAGGCGAGGTTCTTTAGCTAGAGTTTTACACTGAATCGCAACTCATGGACAGACCTCCCCATCATTTCCAGCTGGGAAACATGTCATCCAAAAGAGAGGGATTTAAAAGGAAACAGAAAGATCTCCAGCTAATTATCCCAGGCACAAGCAGAGATTAACACAACTAGGCCAACAATCAAGTAAACAATGCCCTAGTCAAGGACAGGCCAACTCATGCAAGCAATCAAACAATACCTTATTATCAAGGAACAATCAGGAATTCCCAGCAACACTGATAAGAAAAAATAGATAAACAGAGAACAATTCCCCACCCTTCCTACTAACACCGATGATTATCCCCAGTTGGGCAATGAAATATTTCCAAGAAAATCCCCCTTTTTCAAGAGGCAACTGGAGTTCCTTAGCTTCTTCAGTTCTGACTGAATGGTGGTGAATGGAAGGATTGATGTGAATCGAAGAAGCTTCTTGGAGGCGAAGCGAAACGTCTTCAAGGCAAACCAAAGAAAAAGTCAGTTGCCTCTTGAAAAAGCACCTTTGGGCACAAACCATGACCTGGATGGTAGAGAATCTCCCTTGACATCTGCAAGGACTTCGCAATACTGACTCGTTCCAACGTGATGACCATTTAAAATTGAGTAAGTTCTATCAAACTGGTCAGTCCTAGAGGAGATCAACCCTGACTGCTCTTTAGAAGGCCAGATCCTGAAGCTGAAACTCAAGTACTTTGGCCACCTAAGGAGAAGGAAGGACTCCCTGGAGAAGAGCCTGATGCTGGGAAAGATGGAGGGCAAGAGAAGAAGGGGACAACAGAGAAGGAGGTGGCTGGATGGAGTCACGGAAGCAGTAGGTGTGAGCTTCAATGGATTCCAGAAGATGGTAGAGGACAGGAAGGCGTGGAGGGACATTGTCCATGGGGTCACGATGGGTCGGACACGACTTCGCAACTAACAGCAACAATGAAGTTCTATTACTGCTCTAACTTAAGGCTGCAAAAAACATAATAGGGAGTCCCACTGAATTCCAATTGCTTTGGTCACCCGAAGGAGGAAATGAACGGCGGCGCAGTCACAAATACACAATCAGATCAGCTTGATCCTGAAAGATTGTGAAGGAAGAAAATCAGCTTTGCAATCTGAGATAGTAAATCAACTGATCAGGTTTATTTCCCAGAGCCTGGTGTGTAACTTATAAATGAGCACAGTTCGTGTGCCACCCAAACCCACATCCTTCCCATTAAATTAAATGCTCAAATCAAAGAATCCATCGCAAAACAGGGGTCGATTTAGGCAGGTTTAAGAGGTTTAATCAGGTTTTAGGCTTGATAAAATTAAAGAGGATAAAATCTGCCGAGTGGCACAGATCAAAGTCATAGAGGGGTCCATGATGCTATGTGAGCTTGATGGTTTTCTTGTGGACGTTTCATTCCCATACTAGGTTACATCATCTGCGGTAGAAGGATGGGGTTTGTGGAGAGAAGGAAAAGGATGGAAGAGGGAAAGAGAGGAGAAAGGAGAAGAAAAGGGCTGTGAACTTGTAGACCTTTCATTACCAAACCAGGTTACAGCATCAGTGCTAGAAGACTGGAGTCTGTGGAGAGGAGAAGGATGGAAGAGGAGAAGGAAGGAGGAATAAAAGGCCTGTGAACTTGCTGGTTTTCTTGTAGACCTTTCATTACCAAACTAGGTTACAGCATCAGTGCTACAACAACAGAATTTTTATTCTTGATTTTCAGGTTTACTGAAAGTAAACATTTGTTGCTCTGTTCCCCCACCCCCCTAAAGAAGCACCCCAGATTTCCCACCCCTCCCCTTCACAGTTTCTCTCACTGCCTGTTTATTCCACCCAGATGTGTGGGGCGAACCCCGCGCCACTCACCCCCTCTTTTTCGTTCTCCATCAACACTTTTTTCAGCGCCACTTTTTTGCCCGTCTGCCGATGCTTCGCTTTGAAGACCTCCCTGCAAGGGAAGCCAAGAAGAGCATGAAGAGGGGAGGCCAATTAAGCAAAACTGGGGGGGGAGTGCATGCACCATGCCCACCTGGGCGAGGAGCTGGGGATGATAGGTTAAGAGGGAGCCGGATGGAGGATGGACTCCCAGGGCAGAAGAGCTACCGGGTTCCATCCGGAATGTCCGTTGCTGGGAGACCAGCAACGATGGCAAAGGCTGGGCTGCTGGGCCCACAAGCAGCAGGGCGGAGGACCGGCTGGCTGAGCTCATGAGGTCTCTCTCCCTCCAGGCCAAGATTCGGAAGCGCCAGGTGGGGCAAAGGGGGTCCCTGTGCTGGGGGGGGGAGAGATCTAAGGGCAGCTCAGCTCGGTCCATCCCAGGAGGGGCATTTAAAGGCCATACACAGGGGGGGGGAAGCTCCCAGGGTTGTGTGTCTGGGCTTGTGTGTTTGTGTGTGTTGGGGAGGGAGGAGGATTAAAGGAGGAAGAAGATGGTCAGGGGGGGGGGAGAAAGGCGCAAGGGGCGACTAAGCTGCCCCCACCCTCATTTCAGCTCCCTGCACTACAGCCCCCATCTTCCTGAGCTAGGAGACCGGGGGGGGGCTCTGGTTGGGGGGGGGGCACAGAGGAGGCTGGAGGAAGGGAGGGGGCTCCCCAAGGTGGGTAGGGAGCCCATGCTGCCCCACTCCAAGGGGGAGGGCCGCTCCTGGCCGGGAGCCATGGGTCTCCGGCCCTACCTGTGCAAGAGAGCCGCAGGGCGGCCGTGCACCATGGGAGCGGGGGTCCTCCCCCGGCGAGGGCGAGCAGGGCGGTGCCGGGGAGGAGGGAGGCTGCAGGCCGGCTGGGGAGGAGGGGGCTGGTAGTCCGGGCTGGGGTTCCCCCCCCCGGCGGGAGGGCCTTATGGGCTCGGGGGTGCCCCCACGCCCACGTGGGAAGGCAGGGCCGGGCGCGCCTTACCCGAAGGTGCCCTGCCCGATCTTGGCCAGCTTCTCGTACTTGGAGACCTCGTCGCAGTACGGGCACTCGGCCGCGTCGTACTGCTTGGCCATGGCCGTCCCCCGCGCCCCCCAAACGCCGCGGGCGGCCGGCAGGCTCCGTCCCCCGAGCGCGCAGGGGCGCTTCCGGCCGCGCTTCCGCCCGGCCGCGCCCTCCCTCAGCACTTCCGGCGCGGCCGGGCGGGGCCGCCGCGGGGCAGCCTGGGAGGCGTAGTTCGCAGCCGACCGGCCGGCCGGCTTCCAAGCGGCCGGGACTCCGGGAGAAGAGGATGGGCTCGGGTGGGGGGGATGATGGGCTCTGCGGAGGATGATGGGCTCTGGGAGGGGATGATGGGCTCCTTTTCCCATTTTCCCCTTTCCTTTCTTCCTTTTTCCCCCTTTTCTTTCTTTCCTCCTCCTCCTCTTCTTTCTTGTTTCTTTCCTCCTCTTCTTTTTCTTTCTTTCTTTCTTTATTTTTCTTTCTTTCCTCCTTTTTCCTCCTCTTCTCTCTTTCTTGTTTCTTTCCTCCTCTTCTTTTTCTTTCTTTCTCTTTCTTTCTTTCTTTCTCTTTCTTTCTCTTTCTTTCTTTACTCCTCTTTCTTCTTTCCTCCTTTTTTCTTTCTTTTTCTTTCTTTCTTTCCTTTTCTTTCTTTCTCTTTCTTTCTTTACTCTTTCTTCTTTCCTCCTCCTCTTTTTTCTTTCTTTTTCTTTCTTTCTTTTCTTTCTTTCCTTTCTTTCTTTCCTCCTCCTCCTCTTCTCTCTTTCTTGCTTCTTTCCTCCTCTTCTTTTTCTTTCTTTCTTTCCTTTCTTTCTTTCCTTTCTTTCCTCCTCCTCCTCTTCTCTCTTTCTTGTTTCTTTCCTCCTCCTCTTCTTTTTCTTTCTTTCTTTCTCTTTCTTTTTCTTTCTTTCTTTCCTTTCTTTCTTTCCTCCTCTTCTCTTTCTACTTTCTTTCCTCCTCCTCTTCTTTCTTTCTTTCTTTCTTTCTTTCTTTCTTTCTATTTTCTGTTTCTTTCTTCTCTCTCTCTCTCTCTCTCTCTCTCTCTCTCTCTCTCTCTCTTTCTCCTAACCCGACTCATCTTTTGAAATATGGTTGCAAAAAACGTAAAAAAAAAAAGGGGGGGGTCCCATTCCTGCCTGGGAAATAACTGCACACAGGACTGCTGTTCTAAAAATAACCGTTGATGAAAAACGAGGGAAAGTGGTAGCAAAGATGTGATGCAATGCAACACTGAGTATTTTTCCTAAAAATAAACAAAAAAGTCTGCCTTGTTAAGCTGTTTCCTCTTATCAACTCAAACGAGAAACAGAAACATTTGCGGGGGGGAAAAGACGTTTTCTTTTTTCTACAACCGTGTCTTGACTCAAGATGCGGCTTTGTCCTTTTTTTAGCCGATTTTGTTCAATTTTAACTCCGGATTTTTAACTGGGCTTTTTCATGCTTTCCCCACATAAGATTGAGGTGTTTGGTATACTGGAAAAATCAAGAGGGTAAAAATCCACTTTTCTCCCCTATAAATGCAAAGGCGTTTGGTTCTGTTCCTCCCCAGTTTCCTTTAAAAAAAAAATAACAACAAACAAAATCAAGAGAGGAGGGGGGAAAAAAACCAGTTTTGAGAGATCGGTAGGGTGCAGGCGTGCCTTGTGCAAGAAGAAAACCAGCAAAAGAGCAAGAAAGGGAGGCGTGGGTAGGTGGGTGGCTGGGTGGCTGTGGGAGAGGAAGGGAAGCAGGACAATTTGATGACACATCACTTGCAAAACTTCTCTGGGCCGAATCAAGGGGCCGAAAAAACATGGCTGAGAGCCAGAAGAAAAAAAGTGGCTTTAAAAGTAAGTGGTGGCATCAGGTGGGGGGCAAGAGGGCAGTAGATTTTAAAGGCTTGTTCATTGGGGGCAGGAAATAACCCAGGGTGCCAGACTGGACGTGTGTTTGTGTTGAGTGGCTTGCACAGATGCTGCTTGGAGGGACTTAAATAGGATACCTGCATTTTCCCCCCAGCAAAACTCCTGGATTGGCCACTATTTTTTTTCTCCCCTATCGTGTGAATGTTCAAGCTGGGGAAAACGTATAAAGGGAAGGGTAGTTTGAATTTTAAGCAAAAAACAACAACAACAACTCACTTTTGCAACTTTGGGGACAATGCAAAGGACTTGGGGAGGGGTCTTGAATTTTTCCTGAAATGTGCCAGCTGGATCGATCGACCCTGCTTTGCTTGAGTGACGAGATCAATCCCCGATTTAAACTGCTGCTTATATGGGTTGGTGGGATCCAGGCGCTTGAGATCGGCTAGCCAAGCTGTTTAGCCGGGTGAGCAATCCGCACCCAGTCAGGAGGTTAAGAGGTAAGTTTCTAGCCCTCATGATTCCGGGGTAGAGCTACCAGGTTTGGGACTGAGCTGTGCAAAAGGTAAAGGACAACTCAGAATAATTCGGAGCTAAGCGTTAGCCGATAATTGCCTTGGCAGCAGTGCAGAAATGATTTACGATTGGACCCGGTATTTACAATTGACAATTCCATCCAGTGTTTTTTAACTTGGTCTGCTTTATAGCCTGGGGTTTTTCCATTCTAAATCCAGCTTGACTGTCTGAGTGTGTATGTCAGCTACAGCAGTTGCTTCTCAACATGGTCTACTGTACGATGGAGGGACTTCAACTCCCAGAATTCCCCTAGTGGCTGGGAGATGCTGGGAATTAAAACGCACACCTTCTCCAGTGGATAAAGTTGAGAAAACGCCGCGCTGGAAGCTGCGGTATAAAATGTTTGCCCACAAAGTGAAGAGAGTCCCGGTATCTCGGAAGATTTAAACTGGGCTTGACTTCAGGATGAGACTGCCTCTCAGTGTGCTGCGGTTATCGGTCGGCCTGTCTAAGAGGCTAGTCCACATTGTTCTGAACGAGGAACCTAGAAAGCTTTGTTCCGGCAAATCGGATGCTTGGCTGAACTTCGCCAGATACGACAACTGCTCCAGCTTCTACTGTGTACAGGTCGTCCTCAACGAAACAGTTTTGTTTAGTGACGGTTCAAACTTGGGCGAGGAAGGTCGTACAATGAGGCAAAACCCGCTTAAGCGGTGTCTCCGTCCGCAACAGAAATGTAAGCTGTTGCGGTCGTAAGCCGGGGGCTTCCGTAGTAACTACAAACGGAGCAGAGCGGAGGCCTCGCTCTTTCCGAAAGCAGGTGTTGGTTGAAGGAAACGTGAAACAGGAACCCTCCCCAGGAAGTGGGCAGATTTTGATCTGCACTGCAGGCCCGTCGCTCGCTATTTGTGCTCCATAATCTCTGGGCTCTGTGACCCCCAAAACAGTGGCTTCCTGCTGTGTGGAACAAACACCCCCATCCTCCCCAGCCCACTGGGGTTGTGGAGTCTACCTCCAGGGAAGACGGTGGGTCAGGCTTTGTGGCCGTCCTACGAAGCTCAGAAGTGTTGAAATAGTGTTTGTTCCGCAAGCTAATATTGGCAGGACGTTCAGAGACAGAACATTTTAAAGGCAGAATTAGAACAGAATAGAATTCTTCGTGGTCCATGGACAACATTGGACACACACAAGATGCAGAAGCTCTCAGTGTACATGCAAGCAACAAATGATAAATCACGATCATAGTCATCGTAAAAATAATTTCATCGTAAATCGTAAGATGCAACACTTAGTGATAGTCATAGGATGCTGAATAAGAAATGAACATAAATTAGACTAGGATACTAAATAAAACAATATAAATCGTAAGATGCAAGCCACAAAGTTATCGTCATAAGTAGATTAGGAGATAGGGAATAGGAAAGCTAAGAAGAAGAATAGTAATACAGCCTTACTAGATAGTTTGACAGTGTTGTGGGAATAAGTTGTTTAGCAGAGTGATGTCGTGGGGGGGGGAATCCCTGTCCTTGTGTCTAGTTCTGGTGTGCAATATCCTACAGCGTCATTTTGCTGAAACAGTTTATGGCCAGGATGTGAGACATTTTCACAGCTTTCACATATATGATTCATATGCGATTGAAATTAAATGATTTCCTTTGGTATTGATCAATAAAAAGTTGGGAAAAAAAGGTCTTAGAGTTTTGTTTTTATACGTGATAATTGTAGCAGGATGATTGCGTGCACAAAAATGGAAAGATTTGGCAATATATACGACAGGGATAGTTGATGGAAGATGATTGTACTTGCGGAAGAGGTTAAATTAATCATTGATTAGGGGGGAAAAAAAGACGTTATCTACATTTATTGGTGGCTGGAAAACCCCTTATGGGCTTTTTTTGTGAAAAACCAAACCAAAATGAACTCACGATCTCTGGTTTTGACGATTTGTGGAAAGAAGAGTCGCAAAGCAACTTTAGAAGTATAACTGCTGCAAAGAGAGAGAGAGAAAAAACATCTAAAGGAAGGAACTTTCTTTTTCTGCTTTTCCTTCTATCTTTTTTTCTCTTTTGCACTTCAGCTTTTTTTTTTCCCCTTCTCCTTTTCCTTTTTCCTTTATCCTAGTGGCTAGTGATTTTTTTTTTATTTTTTTACTCTTAAACTCTCAACAGAATGATATTCAAAAACAGAAAGAAACCACGCCCGGCTTGATTTTCTGCACCCTCCTGTTCAAGCAGAGAGGACAATTTAAAAAAAAAAAAAAACATTCAAAATCATGCTAGGAAAAGATAGCTACGTCTCTGGGGGAGGGGGGGGATAGAAATAAATAAATATAATCCCAACAGTTTCCGATTCATTAGAGACAGTTGCAACGAGTGGAAATATGTCCGGGGAGGGGGAAAAAAAAAAACCATCTTGCAAATCTCAGCCAGTGTCGTTCCTGGGAAGTAAGTGACCCTCTTTGTTTTTGTTTTTTTTTAATTTCAGAGTTTTTTAAGCTCAAGGGGTTCGGAAGCCTGAGTAGCATTCCTCGCAGCTTCGGCTTCCGCAGAGTCTCTGTTGCCCCCAGACTCAGCGAGTCCTACGGAGGCGGGTCGCTCTCTTCTAAAGGCTTCCTGACCCTCAACTTTGAGATCACGCAAGACGACTTGGGGACTGGCCCCCAAAGCCCGTCGCATTATGCCCGCTCCAGTCACATGTTCACCCACATGGGCACCATGCCCAGAGGCAGCTCCAGACAGAAGATTGGGAGCCACGGGGCCGAGAAGGCCTTGGAGCCAACGTTGGCCAGGGCCACCGAGCTTGGAGACGTGGCGAGGGCGGCGGCTGCTGCTCCACAGACCGGTTCACCAACGTGGGGAGAAGGAGCAGAACCCAACGAGAAAGAGAAGTCATCTTCTGTGGTCAACATTGGCCCAAGCGGCTCCTCAGAAGCGACAGTCCAGGCTGAGAAATCTTCTCAACGTTTCCTTGAGCTTGGAAAGATGTCCAGCCCAGGAACAAAGGAGAAAGAACAGGATTGTCTTCAAGGAACGCCTAGACGCCTTGAGAGGGCCCAAGATGACCTAGACGTCTTCCCCTTAAGTCCATCTCACTATGCCCAGTCTTGTGATGCCTACAGCCACCTGGGCACCATGCCGAAGGCCCGTGCTGGGCAGTCCAAGAAATCCACCAAAGCGAAGAAGCCTACGAAGACTCAGCAAGACCTCAGCCAAGATCTAGCCACAGAAGCAATCCTGTCCCGTGAGGAAAGCGTCAAGGAGGCTAGAGACCAAGAGACAGCAGAGACAACCTCGGAGGAGGACCCAGAAGAAAGGTGAGATAGGACTGTTGTGGAACCCTGTTGGAACCAAGGTTTGGGTGAATGGTCCATCTCTCACTGGTTCTTCTTGGGTAATGTGGATCTAGCTCAGGGCTCTTCAAACTTGGCCCTTTGATGACCTGTGGACTTCAACTTCCAAAATTCTGGGAGTTGAAGTCCACAAGTCTTAAAGAGCCACGTTTGAAGACCCTTGAGCTAGCTCTGTTTCAAAAATCCCCCACTCTTCCCCCCACCCCAGGGAGGTCCTCTAGGAGAGTGTACCTCAACCTCAGCAAATTTACCATGGGTGGACTTCTCTGGCTGGGGAATTCTGGGAATCGAAGTCCACCCCTCAAACGCTGAGGTTGAGAAGCTCTACCCTAGGGTAGACATTCGTCGTATTGAACTAGGTTGCGGCTGAGAGAAACCAGCCCTACTACCGTAGTGAGGAGGAGGAGGCCATTACGTCAGGCAGAAGACAGGCAGATGGGAGGGAAGACATTGCTGGGAGAGAAGAGGACAATCCTTCCTACACAAGGGACACAACCCCTTTGGGTGGTGGACAAGACGAGGTCAAGGAACCAGGCAGGAAATTTTTGCTACCCGTTGCAAAAAAAAAAAAAGAGAGAGAGAGAGAGAGAGAAAGAAATTTGGTCTCCTGCCACCCAGTTGTCCTCAACGGGCCCCAACATGGCTGGTGCTTCCATGCTCCAGATGCTCTATCTGTCCTCTAAGGGTCTTCCCTTACCTTGCTCTCACCCAAGAGATGGACCCCACAGACATACACACCCTCCCAAGGGGGGGCTTTGTAGTCTCCGGAGACTGGGATTAGAGAAGGTTCCAGGTCTAAGTGGACAACCAGGAATGTCCCCTGTGCTCAGCTCTGCTGGGCTGTGCATTCCAGGGGAAGAGGGAGGGACCGGGAGGAGAAACTGAGGCCCAGAGGAAGGGAGGGAGGGAGGGAGGGGCCTGGATGGTCAAGGCTGGCAAAGCCAGAAGAGACGGAGCAGCTGAACGGAGGGGGGGGCAGCCCGTCTTGTGGAGCGTGGAGAAGATCCCCACTTTCCCATTCCTTCTGGAGTGCCACCAGACAGGAGAAGCCATGGCCGAGGTGGGGATGCGATGCCCCAACCTGGACCCGGTCAGGTAAGGCCAGCGGGATTCGTTGGGCCAGAACTGGCATTTGTTCACATCTCCATGCTGAGTTTAGTTCTTCAGGTGTTGTTCTGGAATCCCTGTTAGGTAGACGGACCCACAACATCTCAACCAGGGTCTCTGGCACAATTGACAATTGTTGCAACAGTACCCTAACAATCCTGGTTTGGGCCATTGCGCTAAGCTACGGGTTTTTGTTTTGTTTTCTTTCTAACGATGGGATGTCAAGTCAGTGACATTAACCTTATTATAAAACCAGGGTTTGCAAGCTACAAGGGCTGCGTCCTCACAGGTGAGACGTCGTGTTTTTCAGACCAAAACGGGCAGGGTTACCGATCACGGCTAAGCCAGAAATCATGGCTTACAAACCACAGTAGCCAGGTTTACATGCCAGGTTAAAAACGAAAGCACGCGAAGACAAAAACCATTTTTTTGGGTTGTATTCTCTTCTTCAGGGTTATCTTCCCAACATTTCAAATCCCACTTTTGAAATATTCAGGAAGTTTCTCCCACATCCCAGTCCACCTCTTTCGGCTGCTGTTTTTTTCATTGCATTTTAAAAAATAATAATAATAATAAAAAAATGCAATTCTATTCTTTTTCGCCCTCTTTTCTCTGCCGGCTCATCTTTGGTCTGGCCAACATCTAGGTGTCTCTACCCTCTTCCTCCAAATTTATTCCTCTTCTCCACCCCTCCAGAAAAAAAAGAAAAGACAAGAAAATCTGTGCAGGTTTGAATCAAAGGACCCGATTGATTGCTTCGGGATTGCTAGCTCCCTTAAGTCTGAAAACCGTTTGGGGTTTCCCGTCTGCTTAAGAGAAATAAACGGTGAATAAATAAATAAATTAGAAAACAGCGGTGAGTTTCCAAAAAAAAAAAATCAGCCATTGAAAGAAAGAAGCCGGTTGTTTTGATGATCAAGACAGAGAGAAAGGAAATTGGAGGGGGGCAATATTTTTTCCACCCTAATAACGATCTTTTTGAATCAAATGGATTCCTCCAGAGCAGTTTGCTTAGGATGCCGAGGGCTTATTTTAGGACGGTGGCTAATAAACCATGATTAATAACATTACAGCTATCTCTATCATGACAATAGCGGGGATGCAGGAAAGGTGACACCTTATCTCGGGCTTACTCTAAGCCAGAGGATCCCAACCCTTTGGGCACCAGGGATCACCGGTTCCGTGGAGAGGTTTTCCCACGGACCGGAGAGTGCGTGGTTTTGTGTGCGGACAGGATGCTGGCATGCATGCTGGCATGTACCGGTTCACAGACCAGGGTTTGGGGACTTTTGCTCTAAGCCCTCTTTCTCTGCACCGTTTGTGAGGTATAGCTTCACAGCACCCCTGTGAGGTAGGCCAGGCTCCGAATTTCTCCCCCTCTGCGGGAATATAACCCTGGTTTTTTTTTTTCTGAGTTCAGCCCTTTAATCGTCTCTCCCTTCCTAATACTCGGTCCCAATCTTACACCCCTACTCCGTGGGGGAAATGGCAAAGATCCTAGTTCGGCCCCATTGCTTTGGGGGTGTAATTCCATCCTTGCTGGGGAAGATGGGAAGTGTATTCCAAGAGGAAGAGCATCCGGTTGGGACAATACGGATAATCCACAATTGAGCCCAAATCTCTCTTGCTGTAAGTGAGGTAGCTCTTGAAGCAAGTTCTGCTTCTATTTTACGACCTTTCTCGCGCCCACAATTATTAAGTGAATCCTAACAATCGTTAAGTTAGTAACGCAGTTGTTACGTGGCTCTTGTTTCCCTCATTGTCAGAAGGTGGCAAACGGGGAATCATACAACTCCCAGGCCATTTGCAACCGTCATAAATGCGAGTCAGTTGTCAAGCATCCGCAGGTAACTCCCTTGGGCCATTTGGGACGCGGCAACGGTCGTTAAGGGTGAAAAACGGCCGTATAAGTCACTTTTTCCAGGGCCGCTGTAGCTACGAACGGTCACGAAATGAACTGTTGTTAAGTTGAGGATTAGCTGCTCTTCAAATGCTTTGTTTTTATTCGCTTACATCGGTTTAAAGGTGAAATGTACTGTTGTATGTCGAGGATTATCTGCGCTTCAAATGCTTTGTTTTTATTCGCTTACATCGGTTTAAAGGCCACCTTGTCTGGTTCGCATGTGAGTCCTGGGTCCGTAGGTCAGATTGATGCCTGGGGGGGGGGAATAACAAGCTCACCCTGTTGGTCTTTCAGTTCCCCCCCCCTGCAAAAAAAGAGAATACTTTAGCATCTGTACAGAGTATTGTTAGGCTTTCTTGTACCCTAAAAAAAAAATGATTTTATTTGGAAGGGCACAGATTCAAGATTGCAAGGAAGCGTCTTGGCTTAAGCTGCAGGCGGCCAAGATCGGGCTGACCCCCACGCCCCAGCAAGGCCGTAAAATCCCCCCCCCGCCGCCCTTTGACCCATCAAGAGAAAAAAAAGTGGTCAGCTTCCTTCAAAAAAATTCCCACCATCTTTTCCTTGCCGAATTACCCGAGCTGGCCTTTTCCTGGGAATCAGACGCTGGCGGAGAACATCTGCTAGCAGTTAGGAGGCCAAAAAGACAGATATTTATATATATGTATCTTTTCCCTGCGTGGGAGTCCGGGGGTGGAGGATCTGGGGAGGGGTTTTTTTTTTAAGCAGGGTTTAAGATGAGAAGCAAGGAAAGGGATTGGGGGGGGGGGTCTTAGGGAGACAGCAGCCGAAAGATTTCTGCTTTTTTCAGATTTAGTCCCCAGTTGCTCTCCAATTCTTGGTTTCCTGCCCAGAATCCCCCCCCCATCCCATCCTCCAGCCAGATTCTCGACCCTGGAATTTTTCTCACGGTCCCCACCCCCCCATCCCACCTCCCAAGGCTGTCTTCTTCTGGTGCTTTGTGCTGCTGCGGGGAAAACTTTGGGGGCAACTGGGGTGGGGGCCTGCAAAAAGGCCCATCGAGGTTGGAATGAGGTGACAATAGCAAATTTTTTGGGGGGGGGGAAGAAAAAGAGCTCTTAGGGTTGGGGAGGGGGTGTTCCGAGATCACGAGGGTCTCTGCAGATCGGTTTCCCACGCTTCTGATTTTGTCCTGGCGGCTGGCCAAGTTTGTTACAAACCTCTTCAACCAGGGTTGAACCAGGCTGGTTCGACTCTTAAAGAGCGTTTCAAAGCCAGGCAAATCTGGCCTAGCGTGGGAGAGGGGATAAACTATGGTTAACCAAAAAACAGGACATCGTTGTCTATCCGGGAGCTTCCTCCCTCCGGCTCCTCCCTTCCTTCGCCCGGCTTTTGCTCGGCGCAAGATGCTCTTTATTTTTAAGCATTTCGCTCCGAAACAAGAGATACGCCGTTTGGAAGAAACCAGTCATCTCTGAACGAGTCAGATAAACTGCCTCTGGATGTGGAGGCTCTAAAGGAGCTAACGGCCGGGATGGGCTGGCAGCCACAGTGTTACAAGAGCCTATATTTGAGAGTTTGTCTTCACAGCCGTTTGTTTTGTTTGTTTGTTTTGCTACTGTTATATTGATGTGTGTATTTTCAGCGAGAATGACCGGGACGCTGAGCAGAAAAACACACGTACTCTCCTAAGAGGAATTATTGCTATAGTAATCATTAAAAAAAAAAAAACTGGGCTGAGATCATTCCTCAAATGAAGCTGGCTTGTTGAATATTTAAACAGCAGATGCTCTGCCAGCCTTCTTCGCCATCTAACCCGTCTCTTGGCTTCCCAATTTGTCTCCCGCGTCGACAAGGACTTTGCTGATCTCAGCCTAACTTTAGACGCAGTTTACCACTTGGCCAAAACCAGATGAAGGAAGTTCCTTACGTTCAGGGGCTGTTTCTTCACTTGTAGGGGGGGGGGAATCAAATGTTCCTTTGCTGGCACTACAATTCTTTTTTTTGTTGTTGTTTTTCCTATTCTTTTGTAGCCTGTCCAATTGAGTTGCAAATGTCATTTGCTGGATTGTATTCAAGCGGGCAGAAGTGATGGCTGATGGGTGGGAGACAAAGAGACTGATAGCAAATCATATAAGGTAGCCTGATAAGCTGAGGATAGAAGGGAGAGGTTAAGGGGAGAATAGAATAGAATAGAATAGAATAGAATAGAATAGAATAGAATAGAATAGAAAATGGAGATATAAGAGTAGAGTAGAATATAGAATAGAATAGAATAGAATAGAATAGAATAGAATAGAATAGAATAGAATAGAATAGAACAGAACAGAACAGAATATGGAGATAATAAGAGTAGAGTAGAATATAGAATAGAATAGAATAGAATAGAATAGAATAGAATAGAATAGAATAGAATAGAATAGAATAGAATAGAATTATGGAATGGAGTGAAATGGAACAGAACCGGGGTTGGTTGTGATCTACCTGTAATCTACCTGTACCCCAATGGAACCACCTAACTTTTTTGGGGGCTGGACTAGAAGACCTCCAAGGTCCCTTCCAGCTCTATTCTATTCTATTCTATTCTAATTCTTATTCTTATTCTTATTCTTTTCTATTCTCCTTTATTTGGCCAAGTGTCATAGATACACAAGGAATTTGTCTCCAGTGCATAAGTTCTCAATGTACATGCAAAGCCACAGAGTAATAATAATCACAATATCCAAGTAATAATAATAACAATAAAGATACCAACAAGAGAAGGTAGTGGAATAGATGAAAAGGATAAAAGCAATTCAGTCCTACTCCATGGATAAATAGACACATGGGTAAATAGATTTAAATGTTATTTAAATTTATATTGAAATATACTTAGACAAGGGGAGACATTTACAAGCAGAAAGAAGAAAGAACTTCGATGGGAGGCGGAGTGGAGTTGACAGAGACAAGAAGTTGGGGGGGGGGAAGTTTCCTGCCCAAGAAAACAATTTAACCTGTACAAGAAACAGGAAAAGCGTCCTAATATTTAGCCACATCCTACTTCACGGTGGAGAAATCAGCCCAAAGGGAAAAAGGATGAAGACTAACCACTTCCAGCACAGGAAGCCCGCCTGGTTGCTGACCCCTGGACCCTCCCAGCTATTTTCGTCCCTCTTCTCCAGCCCCCACCGTTTCCATCCTGCAAGATGGGCCTTGGTGTTCCTGCCGTTCAGGAACTGTTGGGGGGAAACAGATGGGGTGGGGTGAGCCGGGTAGGGAAGCAGCAAGGAAACGGGTGTGCGCACATCTGTGCGTTCCTCGCTTCCTCCCCGATCCTGGGGGAGAGGCAGGAAAAGAGAAACTAGCAAAAAAAGTGTTGAATCAAAGCAAAAAAAAAGACCCCGATTGTCATTGCCAAACAGCCCGGCTGTTGACAAATAGTGTGCAGGCCACCAGCTTGTCTATCATATTTTTAAATGTCTTTAAAAAAAAAAAAAAGTCTCAAAGGTAAGAACAGACCCACTTTAAGCCATGTTGATGAGACACCTAGCTAGATAAGCCAAAGAGGTTCCTATTATGTCTGGGACAATACAGGGAAGTCCTTGACTTAACTGATTACAATTGAGCTCAAACCGTCTGTTGTTAAGTGAGACATTTGTTCAGCGCGTTTTGTCCCATTTTACGACCTTCCTTGCCACGGTGGTTAAATGGTATAGGGTTTCCTGCCTGAGCAGGGGGATGGACTAGATGACCTCCAAGGTCCCCTCCAACTGTATTATTATTATTATTATTATTATTATTATTATTATTATTATTATTATTGAGGATTATCGCACAGTCAGCCAGATGTTCAGACTGGATTTGGCATTTTGTCTACCTATCGAGTCCTTACCAAGGACCTGGGATAGGCAGATGTGGATGTTTGATGGTATTATTATTAATCATCATCATCATCATCATCATCATCATCGCACAGTCAGCCAGATGTTCAGACGGCATTTGGCATTTTTGTCTACCTATCGAGTCCTTACCCAAGACTTCCCCCATTGGCTTTGCTTGTCAGAAGGTCACAAAAGGAGATCACGTGACTCCCCAGGGACTCTGCGACCGTCATAATAATAATAATAATAATAATAATAATAATAATAATAATAAAGTTGGAAGAGACCTTAGAGGTCATCGAGTCCAACCCCCTGCTCAGGCAGGAACAAGTCAGTTGCCCAGCGTCTGAATTTGGATCACATGGGGATGCTATGGCGGTCATAAGTGTGAAAAACGGTCACAAGTTATTTTTTTTCTGTGCCGTTGTAACTTTGAACAGTCACTAAACATTGTAAGTCGCAGGCTATTCTATACCATCGGCCTGCTCTACAGGGTTGTTGTATCACGGATTGACAGACTACGTTAAACACGGCGTTCTGAATTCTCCAAAGGGATGCGTGAACCCCAAGTCTTGAAAAGAGATACAGAGGGTGATACCTAATTATAAGCCAAATATCCCAAGACTTTATTAATGCAGTGATGTCTTTGTTCAATTTTCAATGCACAAAATTGAAAAGAGAAAAAACCTTTGCTAAATGCTTTCGGTGCATTCTTAACTAGAAAGCGAGGCGCTCAAAGCCGGAGAAAATATCCATTGATAGATGTATACCATAATATATCCGAGAGCAACCGGAGATCGTTCAACGGAAGACGTTCACTGCACTTAAGCCAGGGTTTGCTGAAATGTAGGTTTGTGCCTGTGCTCGGTCCAGCCTGTGGATTGATGGCTTCTAAACCAGGGTGGTCAGTCTAGCAACCTCTGGGGGCACCTTTCAAAGGAGGTAGCCAAGGTTGAGCTTGCAAAGAGAAGCCCCCGACAGCGAGGCAGGCGTCGGCATATCATTTGCAATAAGTGACATAAATAAAAGATGGTTTTGAATATCCAAAAGTGGGTGTTCCGGTTGGGTGCTTTGTCTGCTACTAACTGCAGCTTGTTGGTTTCCTGTTGGTTCATTTTAGCAATATTTCCAAGGTTCCACTAAATGGCTATTTGTACGTCGACCAGTTTTGCCCATTTGTAACGATGTTCTCCTTTTCTAGGCATTCTGACGGATTGGGATCTTCGAGTGAATACGTTAAGGTAGGGAAACCCGTCTGTCTCCTTTCTCCTCTTTCGGTAACCTGTGATTATAAGGCGTATGGATCTGATCGACGCCTCCAAAATGCGTTCCCTTAAGCTTTGACGCTCGCACCTCATTGCTTCGGTTTAGGACAGTGATGGCGAACCTTTTAGAGACCGAGTGCCCAAACTGCAACCCAAAACCCACTTATATATCGTCGTGGGCCAGGTGGGTGTGGCCAATTGGATGGGTGTGGCAAATTGGGTGGGCACGGTCCATTGGGTGGGCATGGCTGCGGTGGTAACGGCAGACTGGGTGGGACTAAAAAGTTCAATCAATCAATTCCAACTTTGCGAGATCTTAATTTTTCCGCGAGAAGTTGACATTGATAAATTGAAACTTTTTTTTTTTGCACATGGCTGTGGAGGCCTAAAGCAAAAAGAGTTTATAAAACCCAGCTGAAGGCGTAGGATTGGGGCGACGGTCCGCGTGCCCACAGAGAGGGCTCTGCATGCCACCTTTGGCACGCGTGCCATAGGTTTGCCACCACGGGCGTAGGATATCGGGTTTTAGGACCCACTGGGGTGATTGTTAACCTGTCACGATAGACAGCGAGATGTTCCCCCCCAGCTTGCGCTCCTGACCACAGGACCTTCATTTGGCTGGATGTCTGCTGGCCTTGCGAGGGTCAGCATTGTCCTGGCGCAACAATTCAGCCTGCAGAGCTGCCAGCCTGATCGAAGGGTGCATAAATCTTGCCGAAGGAAATGAGAACAGGGCTGGGGATGAGGATTGTAGATTTAAAAAAAAAACACCGACGATTGCAAAGGGAATAGCAGGAATATACGGGAAAGTCAATGAATGCAATGTAGCCAACACCCAGTTTCGCTTGCAGCCGGTCGCTACAAGGGGCACCAAAATAAATGTTCAGCGGGCTTCTGTGTATAGGAAGGTGCCGTTGCTCTGAAGCTGCCAAGCCTCAACCAGAAGGTGAGAATTCTTCTCCAACCGCTTGCGTCCATGCCAACATTCCTGGCTGCCTGGCATCGCGTTCCAGCCCAGCTGCCACCTGGGTCCCCAAAATGGGCAAACGAAGAGCTGGTATCTCTGCTTTTTTTTTTTTTTTAGCAAGGAAGAAGCCAAGGGGCTGAGGGGGGGGGCCCACGTCCGTGGCCCCGAGAAGCAGAATTAATGCCAAAGCTGGAAGGGGATGATGGATGGCCTCAGGCCGAGCCCTACCCCTAATGGGACAGATGGACCTGAGACATTAGGCGAGGAAATTAAGATTGCAATCTAAATGGGAGGGATTGCCAAGCAATTTGCAACCTGCTCTGGGGACACCGGGAGGGAAACAGCCACCCCCCCCCAAACGGCTCATGCTCAAAACAAGGCGGAGCGAAATGGCGGCACTTAAGGGAATTCTCAGAATTCTTTGGAAATAATTCCAGCTATTTTGTGCAGCCCGAAAGAGAAGGAAGAAAGCCACGGTTGCTGGAATTGGGTCTGTCTAGTTTAATGAAGGGAAGACCTGGAGGAACATTGTCCATGGGGTCGCGATGGGTCGGACACGACTTCGCAATTAACAACAACAACAACAAAGTTTAATGAAGAGAAGGACGAGGGGGGACATGATAGCAGTCTTCCAATCTCTCAGGGGCTGCCCCAAAGAAGAGGGAGTCAAGCTATTCTCCAAAGCGCCTGAAGGCAGGACAAGAAGCAATGAGTGGAAACTAATCAAGGAGAGAAGCAATCTAGAACTAAGGAGAAACTTCCTGACAGTTAGAACAATTCACCAGTGGAACAACTTGCCTCCAGAAGCGGTGAATGCTCCAACACTGGAAGTTTTTAAGAAGAGACTGGACAGCTATTTGTCTGAAACACACACACACACACACACACATCATTTGTTCCCCCTCCCCAAAAGATCCATGAAAACCCCACCCGTTACTTCCAAGTCGCTGGACCACGGCGCCTGTTGCTGCATCCGGCTAAGGATGATGGGCATCAAAAGCCCACTTCAGACAGCTTGCGCTGGGGAGAAAGACGCACGTTCTTTCTCATCCGAGTGGGCCACAAGCCCTACGCGGACATTGGGGCAGAATCTGGCTGCCGGAGGGCTGGAAAAACTAAAAGAAAAAAAATCTGCTTGAAGACATTAAAATGATATTTAATGCAGCATTGTTGAGAACCAGGCAAGGTCGAACCTAGGATAAACTCTGCATTGAGTTTAATGCTTGGCAGTAGGTGAGGGGTTTCCAGATTGCCATCGCCCGTGCCAAGCCATTTCTGCAGCAGCGCCAAATCGGGCCTCACTCACTTAAGAACCGCCCTGCTTAAGCCGTGGAAATCCGGACCCCCCCCCATCGTGGTCGTAAAGTCGAGGACTACCTATATATGGGGTTATTTTTCAGCTTCTAAAGGCAAATTATGGGGGCAGAAGCAGCTTTAGAGGGGCATTGATGCTTGTGTGTGTGTGTGTGTGTGTGTGCGCGCGCGCTTTCCTGAACCCGCAGCCAGGTTCACACCAAACCAGGCTGCTAATTCAGGGCTGACTTTTAGCCACGGCTGGTTTGTCCCTGACGAGATCTTGCAGCCACCATGACGGACAATCCAAGTTTCTTGGGTTTGCAACACCCAGGACAGGTTTACCTGCAAGAGGTTGTGTGAATGCAGCGGGGAGGGGGTCTGCCAGTGCTGCAGGGAAAGGCAGAAGGAGGCAAACCCATGATGGGCACTGGGGGGTGGTGCAGAGGGGGTGCAGGGAACAGGTGGGAAACAAAGCAAAAAAAGGGGGGCAGTGACCAAGCTTGGGGGGGGGTCCTTGGAGATGCCACCTAGGAACCGGCAGAGAGAGAAAGAAGACCCCAACCTTGGTTGCAATCCTGAGCCCGGGGCTGGGATGCTGAGGAAGCCAGGGGACCCCCGGCCGCCCCCCCCTCCAACGCCCCAGCATCCTTAGGCTCCGCCCCCGCCCCGCCCCCGCCCAGGGATGAGGTAATGTGGGAAGCAGCCGCGGCTGAAGTTAAAGTGCTGCTGCTGCTGCTGCTGCCACCGCCGCAGGAGCGCATCTCCAGCCGGGGTGCCCGCCGCCGGACGGAGCCATGACGGACCGCTGCAGCCTCTGGAGCGCCCTGTCGGCCGCCGCCTGCTGCTTCTACCGCGGCTCCTTCATGCAAGTGCAGGTGAGGGAGGGAGGGGGCGGCCGGGACTGCCTTGGGACCCCTTGGCCGGGCGCTTTTGGCAACCAGGGCTGGCATGGCTAGCAACGCTTAGGGGGGGGGGAAGGGGCACAACATTGAGGAGGGGGAGCAGCTGCTGCGGATGCATGAAAAGGGGGGGGGTCGCAGGAGCATGCCTTCTCCAAAGGGGTCTGCAAGGGCTTCCTTTGTGTGCTGCAGAAGCCGGAGCCGGCAGAGTATGGGTGGGTGGGTGTGTGGGTGGGTCGCGCGGGACCCCCGGGTTTGGGCGGAGACTTCGATCCCCGGCGCGCGAGGCAGCGAGCAAAGGGATTCCCCCGCTTTTTCCAGGCGAGCTTTCCCTTCTCCCCCCCCCGGGGGGGGCAGACGCTGTTGGGGGCGAGGGCGGGGGTGGGAGGGGAGGAACGGCATCTCCCACCCGTGTTGGCTGCCGGCGGGGGAAGCACCTTGGGGAGGGAGGGGGGTCTCTCCCGTCGGGAGGATGAGGAGTGGGCTTTCCGTGGCTGGATGAGGGAGGGCAAATTCATGGGAGGGGGCTGGCTCCCTTGGTCAGCATCTTTCAGCATCCTCCAAGTGAACTCCCCCCCCTGTCATCTCCAGCCTAGGACGGCCCTTAGGAAGTGTGTTCAGACTACACTCCCCATCCTCCCCAGCCAGCCAGGAGGGTACACGCTGGAGAAGGTGGTTCTCTGTGTGTGTGTGTGTGTGTTCGCCCACCTGCTTGGCCTTCCAGAAGCAGAGGGGTGAAGAAGGTGCTTCTATAGAAGGAGGAGTGGGTGGGTGGGCTTGTCTTCAGGGTTAGAAAAGCAGGTGGGAGGGAAACACGTACACACATACACACACACACTCACACTGACAGGCACTCACAACCCTGCTCCTCATACTTCTGGGTAGACATCCGAGGTGGGTGGGGCAGGTCCCCGTTCTGCCACCTTATCTGGGGGGGGGAAGCCTCATCCCTCTTTGAACAAGGCTGGTGGCAGAGGTCAGAGGTCAGGAAAAGATCTCCCCCCCCACCTCAACGGGGGGGGCAGTTAAGCTGAGAGTGACGTTTACCATCACCCCCAACTCCAGCTGCCCCTTTCTTTCTCCTAGCTGGAGTAAGATTCGCTCTCCAGAAGGATTTGCAAGCAGGGAACCCCCTGGGGGCGCAAGAATAATAGAGACAGGCCGCCAGAAAAGAGGGATAGGTTGGACTACAGTTCCCATGATCACTCAGCAATGGGAGTTGCAGTCTTGGGGTCTTCGGAAGGGAAGAGGGACCCACAAGTCATCCCTCCATCATATCCATCCATTCTAGCTATCCCTCCTATCCATCTATCAGACAAAGATAGGCATAATAATAATAACAAATAATAATTATGCGTTAGACCGATGGCAAGAACAGAAGAGTGTGTGGGTTCGACACAGAGACACCCCCGTGTGTGTGTGTGTGTGTGTGTGTGTTCAAATCCATCAGTTGCCTATGATGTCATTGGCAATGCAGGAGTCCCAAAACAGCCCTCCGAAATTTACATCGTGCCCTCACCCTGGGGCTGCAGCTCATCATGCGTTGAATGACAGCTGTCTTCCCCACCCCAGTCTCCTGTGTTTTGTCTCCTGGAGGAGGGAGGGGTTCTAAGAGGGGGCTTCCCTTTGGGGAAGGGGATTTCTGCTCCAACAGCGCTCCCCCTATTTCACACACACCCCCACTCCTTCTCCTCAAAGGGGGCTCCAGTTTAGGCAGAATCTCAATGCAGGGGAAGAGGTGCTTGAAAGAAAGAAAAAATAATAATCATCATAATTTTAAGGGGGCTGGCGATGACGTCCTTGCCCACCAAGGG